GGATGTCCCAAGTCGTGGAGACGCCAGTGGTGCCTATAATCGTGCTGACAGAGGTTTACAACAACATAAAAGGGGGCAGAAACAAGAGCAGCAAAAACTGTCCTCTGAAGATGATGACTCCTTGAAGAGAAAGGGCAACGTCGAAAAATTCAAGACATATCTTGTAAACCTCTTCACTCCTAGCTCTGCTATCAAGTGGGAAAGATTTGGAAATGAGAACTGAAAGATTTATCTTAAAGTTCTGTTTTTATTTCATTTTTCCCTCTGCCATGCATCCTAAAGTATAAAGCGTTTGACTTAGTGAATAAAATACTGTGCATAAAAACTCTCCTGCTTGAACAGATAGACAGAAATGCAATCACTGTCACTCTGTATGCAGTATAACAGCGCTGCAGTGCTGACTATGATTTATGAGTGGTTTATGGTTACAAATGATAGCTGAGCTTTTTAACCTTCTCTTCACTGTATAAATGCTTTTTCCTAAACCAACTCATTTCCCCTTCTACTTCAGAGCTTAGAAACACTTTGTCCACCCAGTTCCTGTGTCCTTTAGAGGGAATCCTCATGGCATTTACAAGTGCATAAAATTTTACAATCAGCTAAAAGCAATCCACATGCAAATGAAATCAATCTAACTTATTCAGAATTGGTTGCAGATATATTAATTAAATTCTATCAATGGTTGTTACTTCAAGAGTATATTGTGATTCAAAACAAAGTGCCAAATCGAAATTGTCTTTACTGAAGTGATATTAACTAATTGATTGATTAGAATGACTTTATCTTTACTGTAGACATGAACAAAATCGTTGTTAATCAAACTAATGCTGAGGCTCTTTGCAGTGGAGAGAGAACACAGCAGTGAAGCTGTCTGAGTTTGGCAGACGGCTTTCGCACTCGGAATACAGTCCAAGATGTGGGATTAGGCCTGGCATCGCAGACTTGACTTTAAAATGAAACAGAACAGTCGCACATTTTCCTACCAATGATACAATAACCAAACTGTGAGCTAAAAATTAAAAACACCCAAATAAAACCTGAATATCCTACAACAGTCTCTTTTGATGGAGCAAATATTTGTCACAACAATCCTTCTCCGAGTCAAGTTCAGATTTTACAAATCATCCTAGTAACACAAATATCACATATCACAACAGAAAGAAGATGTCCATAGTATGAGGAGCTAGAAACAGACAACAGACAAGACAAAGTAGCACCAAAAAATTACACTGATATGCATATAAACACTGAAGGTGGCCTTTTCCTCCAAATCCAGCATCTTAACTATAAGCTATTTAGGCTGTAATTAGTTTGAAAAACAAAAAATACCACAACTTTTTAGTTTTCTCCAATCACTTTTCCCAACTTTTGTGTAGGACTTTTTCTTTAACAATAACAGAAGCTCAAAAACGACCATTTTAAAAATACCTCTAAGAAAAGAAATAGGGAGTGAGTGTACAGCAAGCTGTATAGAGTTGGCAGAAAGTGGCCTGTGTTTGATATTAATAAAAAGCTTAGAGTCACATGATCCACACAGTCAGCCAAAAGCCACTCTTATCATGTTCTGCCAGTTTCCTCCCTCTGCTCTCCACAGAGCCGCTCCACATCAGCTTTGCACCAGTAGGTGGCACCAAGTCCCTTCCCTCTCTGGCCTCATTCAGCGAAAAGATGAGCTGTGGCAGTAAAAGACAGATCACAAAGATACAAAACACCAACACTGATCTGATGCTGTTAGTTTCACGCTGAGCTAAACAAAAAGTGCTAAACCCCCAGCCAGCAGACAGCCAGGGGTGATGTTTTGAGACAACTGTTGGTAACCCTAATTGGATGATCATGTGCAAAAACATCTCACAGTCAGAGCTCTAAAATTAATCCCCAAACAGCTTCTCAACATTAATGGGGAGCTATAATAATTTTCACCTTTCATTATGTTAATGCAGGACAACTATAGTGCAGTGCTGCATGATTTGCAGCTCAAAAAACTCCTTATTCATCTCATACCAGTTTCCATTAAAAAAAAAAAAAAACCCTCACTTGAGCATTATTTAGCCTCTGCCTGAAACACTTCATTTTGGCTGCTTTTCCGCTGCTAAAAATGTCAGCCACAGCTTGTGGGTGTTACTTTTCAGACAGCTCGGTTGTCAAAAGCCTTTTCGGGTTCCAGTAACAGTTGGGTTACAAATCCAGCTTGTAACTGGCCAGTGTTGTAGTTCTTAGTAAAGTGATGAGCACAAACAGCTACAGTGTTGTCCCTAAAATATAAAAATTTCCCTCTGTTTTCTTTGGGAGGAGATAAGCCATGACTAACCTTCACAAACTAAACTCTTATGAGAAAAGTTTTAAGTCACATTGAATCATTAAAGTGCAAAACAGACGAAAAGCTGAATAGTGGAACTGACTTTCCATCATCTTTTGACTCATCCTTTAGCATTGTTTAAATAGGATTGTCCAACCTGATGTCAGATTGTGGTCATGTCTCAACACAGGAAAAAAAAACACATCTGGGGGTAACACTACCTTCCATATATCTTATGTAAGGTTGCTTTTCTTTAGTACAGACCATCAACACTGAAGAATCATACTGTTCAATAGACGAGTTTCATGTGTACAAACAATACTAGGTGCGTGCGCAACCAGGGGGCAAAAGCCTGCCTTGGAGTGACTGATATCAGTGAAGATGCCATATTGTTTGTAAGTTCTCCCTGACACAATAGCAATAAAATGTCATTTCATTGAAAAATCGCTTTGTCTTTCATTGCATCAAAATCAGAGAAGCACTCGCTGAAATAACCATGAATTTCACTCAATTTACCAGGTTGTGACATTGTTTTAGATGTTTGTAATATCAGGAGCAGGGTCATAATGTTTGCCGATTGTTTGTTTTGCTGATTCGTGCAGTTTACAGCACAACAGCTCCTTGTCATTTTCTTTCTCCGTTGACTCTGCTAGTAAACAAATACGAAATGTCCCGCTTTCTGCCCCCTGGCTGCTTGCGGATACCTGCTATGACATTGCACGGAAACCCATATAGCCGATGTATTAAATTAAGGATCAGTGTGATAGGTTCTTTATGTTACAAAACTATAGAAGCTTTCCAGAGTTCATCTAGTGTATTTTGGGTAAATACAGTCAACTGAAAACATGGACCACATATTGCGTAACATGGGGGAAACGATTTATGCAAAAAGTATTTTTAATGCTCCAGATTAAGGATATTCTGAAGCAATTTATTTCATAGACATTTCAACAGAAATTGAATCCTGATTAACCAACTCGTCTAGACGCAAGAGAAATCTCAGTAAATGGGCAAAATTGAGCTCAAGTCATCCAACACAACAACCCAAAAAAATGGAATTACGGGGGATGGGGTGGTAATCATGCTTTTCCACATTTACAACAAACAATTGCACAGTTATGAAACATACATACAAAGTTTCAAATCAAGAGGTAAACTTATTTTGTCATAATCTCAAAAAGGTACATCTGAACTACTCAAATCGCAGAAAAACACGCGAAAATGCGAGACCCTTCAAAATTTCTTACGTAACAATTGTCGGGTCTCCTTACCGGTTCACGTGCTTCCGGTAAAGCCGAACGGCCTGCCTCCGACAGCGCGAGAAGGGACACCCAAAGCGGAGCGGGGTATCAGCAGACATAATAAACACAGATAGCCTAGAAATACAAACATATATAATGTCCATGGAGATAACGCTGTTCCGCTGCTCAGCTGATCGACCACAGTAGACGGTGCGGGACCAAAACAACGAACTTCGTCCTCATTTGGCGTCCGGAAAGCCCCGAAAAGGTGACCAATCACAAGTAGGTAAGTTTGTGAAGGGGGGGCCTTAAAGAGACAGCAGCTAACACTTAGCATTTCAGACATAGACTGAAAAATTATATATTTTATACACCACAGTGAGAAATTTGAGGCTTTTTTGATTCAAAAATTACGTAAAGTTGTTACAGAGGTATCAGAAAGTACATATAGAGTCTGGAAAAAAAAATGCATGTCCAAGTGGTTTGCTGTGTGTCTGACTTTAGCAGAGCTAGCACTGCCTGTCTTCTGTCTTTCCTGAACATCTGAGCTGGTTGCTGCAGCTGAAAGGTTTTATTCCAGCTCTTTTATAAAAAGTGTTCATAATCGAGATCCAAGAGTTTTAAAACTGTGCAGCCCATCAAAGGTCATGATTTTAAGTGACAAAAGAAGTGATCGCTCACAACTTTTAATCTCCATGACTTACTTTATTGTCAATTGTTAGCCATAGAAGCACACCAATCCTGCTTTACTGGAACACCAATCTCTGAGCTAAATTTAACTATAATCCAAAAATCTCTGATCATAGATTTTATTTAAAGCCCTAATACTACATGTCAACTATCAGCTGAACCGGTGTATCCTGTCTAATCCTTTGGTGTCTTTTAAAACTACCCAAAAGATAAAAAGACAAATATCTCTGAAAAGAAGACTGATTTGAGTGACATTTGTCGGCTGTATAGGCTGGAACACGGATCCAAAAACAATCAGCTTCAGATCCTGAAACAATCAGCCCCAGATACACATGTTGGCTTTATCAGTGGGCTTTCTAATGGCACAACAACAGAATACGTATTTTAAAAACCGCAGGCAAGGTAAGAGATGCAACACCAATCTGAGTCTTGATGTGGATATTTATGTTGCAAACTGATTCTTCTCGCTACATCCTATTTTCAGCTGAAGGGGTGTCACTGATCATGTGGCTCGAAAACTAAATCAGCAGGCTGTCACCACTGTTGTTCTTTTTTCTATGTCATTTCATCAGGCACACAAGATGCCTTAGATAAACAAAACAGGCATTCTGTGAAAATTTCTCCATGTCTCTGCTGAGCCATGAATAGATTCATCCCTCCACACTGATGTTTTAGGACAGCAGTCACATCTGCTGGATGTCTGTTTACTTCACGTTCAGACAGCTATTTTCTGCATGACATGTTAGCTCAATAGAAATAACCACTTAAACAAGAGTCGGGGCATTGTGCTTGGAATCCATCAGTAGCAAAAGTTCAGCCTCCTTGCCCCTCTTGGGCATGTTAATCAAATTAGTCGACCAAGTCTTTCAACAACAACCAAGAACCCATCCCTAACTGCTGCTTCAACAGGATATTGACATTTGTTAAACTTGACCTCACCATGGATGAGAAAGTTTTTAAGCTAAGCACTGTTAATGGACTGTAGCACTGACTAAAATGCACTTAACCTAACACAAAGACACACCTTAACATAAAGAGGAGCATGTAACCAAATGGTATGAGTGGACACAGTACAGAAGTCCCATTACTCTTTCTCTGTGATTGGCCTGAAAATTGATCAGCACAAACAGACATCGTCTTCATCTACACCAGCCTAAGAGCAGTGTCAGACATTTCAGTTAGCACCGATAATTAAACCCGCTCCACTGAGAATTGTGTGCACAAGTGACAAACATGAGACCCAGTAAATGCTTCTTCAAGAGTCGAGCCAGTTTGGTGGAATTTTCATTTTTTCATTTGTGCCCATGATTATCAAGATGTCACAAGATACAAGAATCACAACAGGTAATAAGCCATTAAACCAGATGTTCATACTCTAAGATTCATAGGATCCAAAGTTCTGAGTTCTTCCATTTGAAGAATTGATCAAAAACATTGTAATTCATCAATATTCAAAAGGTATGGTAATAAACTCCCTGAGCTTTAATCCAAGTACCTTTTTAGTGCTTTTTTTAGTAATTTGTCTCATTCAAACTAAGAAGAAAACTAAAAAAGAGATGAAGAAATAAAGGACAAGGAATTCATTTCTTCTGCTCTCATCCAACAGGAAAGGTAGGAAATCAGACTAAACCATTTTGATACTAATGTTGTTGGTTTTTCTAGTCGTGACCCCTTGGAGTTCATGCTAAAAGAGAACTGATAGCAAATTTATAACAGCATATTTAAGCAGTCCATTTACAGCGACCAGGTTTTCACACTGAATGGCAGACATGTTCCACACTAAATCAGTCTTGAGGCTCCTTTTCCATTGTGACAAAGTCATTAGGTACCATGCTGTGCTGTGATCCAAAGGAAAACATGAGCGGTATTTCCACAACTAGATCCCAGAGTGTCTGTCTCTGTCTTTACTTCTCTTTCCCTTGATTAATCACAGTAGCGTTAAACTGACGATAATGAACTGCCAAGAAATCTAATTGAAGTGTTCACCTCCACTTGGAATGGGTGATTTAATTCTGCCTCCTAAAGCACATTAACTCTGTGCCAGAATTGAGGAAAGGAAGGGATGCACCACATTATTTTGTTGTTATTATTTAAATATTTAATATACATATATTTTTAAACTTATTCTGGCTGGTAACAATGCTGAAATATACACTTTTTTTCAAAACAGCAACTTTTTCCTGTGCTAATATGCGAACAACATTTAATTCAACAATAAATGATGTCTGTTCTCAACACTTTAAAGTACTTCCACACAGCCATCATGTTGAGTCTTGCCGCATGTAAGCTGCATCTTGTGCCCCTAATTAATACGTTTCCTTTTCATATCTACCAATACTGATAGTTAACTTTCAGGCAATTATCTGCTGAAGTTTAAGTGCAGCATGTACAGTCAGTCTAAAATCATTATAATGCAGAACTTCATTAAGCCTCTGAATAAATTGTGAAATAATGTAATTATAATGATAAACAGAAATGACAATACTATGCTATATACAAGGAAAACAGACATTGACATTGCAATAATTCGGATGTCTAAATTACTGGACTGTTAACTTAAAACTTCATGACTAATGAACCTGAAAATAAGTAAATCAGCTCATTTAAAAGGCAATGGGTAAGTCAAATGGGTATTTAAATAAAGGTGTAACAAACACTGCGTATAGAAGGCAGCATGTTTAATATGCAGCACATTCAGTGTACAGCCATGCTCCCATACTGATGTAAATGGACAGCAGGAACATTTACAACTCGGGGACAACTGGAAAAGCTTCATCTGTGCAGCAGAGGAGCTCATTTGCAAATAGTCAATATCCACTCACCACTGAGGAAGTGGGCTTTACATTGAGTTGCAAATGACCTGCCTTTTGATTAGCATAAGGAGTAGGAAAAATATCCCACAGCCTTTGGTCACTTCGTGTATAGTCTGGAAAAAAATGGCCAATAGCTGTTATTGTTGCCTGCTTGTGTTTGTCCTTCCTTTTATCTTCTGCATCCGACCTACTTATTAAAGCTGTCACAGCTCAGTTGCTTGGTTTGTTGTTGGATGTTAAAAGCAGGAGGAGAGAATGATGGAATAGGTGGAAACAGGGAGCCTTTGTTTGGGCCACTAAACAGGAAAATTACAGCCAACTTGTCCTGTCACTGTAACCGTGTTTACTGTTAATCAACAAATATCACCCAGCAGGCAATTACTGAATGTCATGTGTAATTCGACCACCCTCCTTTCAAATACGTTATCTTCCTACGCTGACTCAGGGATGATTAATCTATGTGGGAAGGCAGCTTTATCAGTTATAAAGCTAAATCCACAGCTCTATCTTTTAATTCAAAAGATGACCCTCCTCTAGGAACAAGCCAATGGCAGACAGACGTGCCTGCCAACACTTTATTGCTGTTATTAATATTTTCTTGATTAGAGCCTGATGCTCTTATAAGAGATGAAAAAAGGGGGAGTTGGACGTCCACAGTGGCTCAGAGATGGAGACTCATCATCCTCCTCTTCTCTCTTTGCAAAATGCTGTCAATAATAAGTCCAGTCTAGACACCGACTCATTTGGCGGTCCACAAAGCCATGTTCCACCTCATTTACTATAAAACCAACTGACTCAGGTTGTGCATATGGGTATGCATGCTTCTGCGTACCTTTGTTGTGTGTGCACATGCTTGACTGAGTTTGTAATGAAACTGCGTAATGAGTCTGCCGGAGAGTGGAGAGAATAGCCCTTGAGGGTATCACAATGTCACAGTGCAGGGTTCCTATCTTGAAGTAAACAGGCTGCTCCTCTAGCATGCTGAAATATTTCAGAATTGTCCTCAGAAAGCTTTTCGATGGGAAAAGAGTTGCCATCAGCGAATCTCAGCCGGGGATCACAAGAGCAGGGTTTGGGATAGATGAGAGACAAAGAGACAGGGCAGGTAAGGTAGCCTTCAAAGACAAACTGAAGAGTGACAGTATAACAGGAAAGGAGGACCAATTTGTTTGTACATAAGGGAGGGCAGTGAGAAACACAAAAACTAAGTGTGTGACCTTGCTGTCAAAGTACTTCAGACTAGATACAGGATGACTGACAGTGAAAGGCCTGCTTGGAAAGGTTGCTTTTGATTTAGTGATAGGTTATCTGGCTGTTGAATGCAGACTAGAAAGGAGCTTTAATCATTACAAACTGGGTGGCTTTGCTGTCTAATGTTGATCAGATAAAACGAAGGTCAACAGTCTGACTTTAAAATGTCATATAGTCCTATGATGGTTCAAGATAACAGTTTGATAATCCTTTTATTGTAGTTAGGTAGGGGGTGCTGTAATATTCCACTACTCAGATGTAAACAAGAATACAGGAAAGATGGCGTCTTTGGGAAGTGGCATGATTTGACATTATTTTGATCTAAAAAATGGAGATAAAGTTGTATGTAGGCTGTGTCTGGTTGGTTAAACCTCCATTTAACCAACTGTAGCAGTGTGTTACCAGGACAGGGATGCAGACTTTAACCCGCAAGGAAGATCTAGGTCTGATGGTGCTAACTCTTGCCAAACCAATCCAACATTGTTTACTTTAGATCGCTGCAACCCTATGTTTTGTTGTGCATAATACATTTTGCTTATATTTGAGTCTTTTGTTGGCTTGTTTTTACCTTTAAACTAACGATTTAGTTGGAATTCAAATTACTGTTGAAATAAAAAGGAAATTAATCCCATTGGAACAACGCTATTGCTGTATTTTTTTATGCCATGATTCACTACCCAGGATCTTTTAGGACAGAGCCATGCAAGCAAAAGTTGTAGATAACAAACCTCAAAACCCTGTAAATGAAAAGAATTTAATTCATTTATAATTTTGGGCAACACTTATATAATAACCCAAAGAGAAAAGAGAGCTATGTTATTCATCTTTCACTTAATTCATCATTCAGCTTACATATGACACTCACCCATGTTTACTGGCCATTCAGTCATTTTGGAGTACCTTAGTAATACACCATCAAATTTTATACTGCCATATGAATATTACAGCTCCCGGACTTCCAGACAAATCGAAAAACTATCATACCATCTCACCTCCTCCTTGAACTTGAATCAAATAAAAATTTGCAGCTCACAAGTGCACTTTTCTACAGGTAAAAGCACTCACTTCCTCTGTTATACATTGTTCACACATAACCATAGCAGAGGAAAAGGCGTGTGGGAGGAACACTGGGGCACTACGAGACACTCAATCACAAAGTGAGAGAGAAAGCCCATCAACTATCCCGAATGGTGTCAGTTAGACTTTCGCCGAAATGATTTTTTTCCTCTTTTTTGTCCTTCAAGATGACAGCTTCGAGGTCAGCATCAATCATATACTTGCCCATGTGTGTCACAGCAGTTGGCCTCTGGTGATGTAATGAATCCTAATTTAAGCTGCTATCAGGGCATATTCAAAAAAAGAGGCCAGATGCTGTTTCCAGGAGGCCAAGATGTTTTTCTCACAACACAACTTAGAAGACAGGGATGAACACACTCCCAGATCATCTAAATATGGCTCATTTCAAAGTCCCTTTAATATTGAAAGAGGAAAATAAATACAATCATAGCAATGCAAAAGTATCTATTACATAACATGGACTATACTGAGATTTGTAAACTGTAATTCATGGGTCTAACATCCTCAGACCAAGTCAATGCCAGGAACTATAAGCTTATTTTGATTAAAGTCAGACATCAATCACATAAAACCGATGGCTGAGTAGGAGCAGTCTATAAAACTGCATGTCTCCATTCTTAACCTCTTCACCCTTGTGTGTATTTTAGTATAAAATACTGATAGCAAGCAAATGAGGATTCTCGGATGAGCGGCCAAAACTCTAAGCTGAACTGCTGTATTATAAAATATTAGTCATAAGCCATCTCTGGATGAAGCTGCTGTTCAGGTCATGTTTGACCAAGAATAGGTCTATGATCTCCAAGCAGCAAGAATGAATGAAAAATGCAACACATGTATTTCACTTCGTATCAGGCTGTGAGTGATAGTGTAGTCTCTGTGGCACAAAAACCCACTTCCCTGTTTCATAAGTGTTAAATATTTTAAAGTACTACATATGAGCTGAGCAGAAGGAACAACGTGGGCAGGAGGAGGAAGACATGACTGAGAAATGAAAGCAGAGAACAGAGTTTCAAACAAGCCGCATAAAATATTGATAATCAGATTTTTCTTCGACAGTCTAGTCTGTTAAGATCGGGGATTTGTTACATTATGGGGCCAAAATTAGAAAGCATAATCTGAATTAGCACATCTGAAAAGCACACTGAATTATCTTCTTGTGTTTTCTGCTTTACCATCGATGCGAAGGTTCGACTTAAATGACAGGAAATTATAGAGAACGGTGGCCAAAGCAACAGGTTCAATAATCACCTGTTTGATTATGTCAATAGAAACTGAAAACTCAGAAGCTTCCTGAAAGCTGAATTTGTGGTAAATTGGATTACATAAGATTGTCCAGGTGTTTGTAGTGCTATGGCTGGCAGGTACTATAAATAGCATTACCACCTGTGTTCACCTGTCCTCCGTTATCCTCCTTATAGTGATGGATGTGTTCATGAGAGTGAGAAAACGTAATCGTCATGTTTGAATATGATAAGCGAGGCTACTCTGTTGGACAGCACAGACATCAGCTGACTAATTAAAGTACTGCTGGTGGAAATAACAGCCTGTTATATAAACAAAACCCTCCTTCCCTTCATATAAACGGACTAAAGCTGTAACCGCTAGCCGCCACAACACAAGCTGCGGTTACACCTGAACTCCAATTTCCTTCACATTCTGCTCCTGAATACTTTTGAAGCTAGATAAAATCGACATCGCATACTCTTCATATTGACTAAATCGGGTGGGAATGTTTTCAAATCAAATTTATTTTGTCACAGAGTTTAGCGTTTTTAATGCAAATCTGGCTCCAGCCAGTCTCACTCAGCCCTAACAATTTAGAGTTGATTTAATGACCATCGATAATCACTTTCTGAACACTTCATTGTGACTTGCGATGCTGAAATTGGTGTCTTGTTTACCACTTCCATTTCGACTGTTGTAGGTATGGAAACAAAGGTCCTTATCCAAAACCACAATACCTAGACTATTTAGATCTGAACTAAGTTACCTTACAAAATCTAGAGACTTTATAAAACTTTCAGATTAGTGAAACCTTTATTCTAAAGGAAGGAATGCAATAAACAGCGTTTTCTAGAGGTGAAAATTAAAGTAAATGCATTCACTAGGGGGCACCAAAATCAAGTTATTTACAGGACTTTTTAAAGTTATACATTCTGGCATCAATCTGGCTTTTTTTCCCCAACAAATTCGATCAAAGCAATTGATAATCCTCCAATTAAGTTCTTTAGAAACTTATATTTAAAATCTAAAATGATAAATTTGATATGATTTTAAAAAGCCATCAATATTATATGATTGATTTAAGAATTAGCAAGGGATATGCTATGGTGAACTGTCATGATAAAGGAATAAAGGAATCCTGGATCTAAATTGTTAAATTTTGAATATTTCCTCACTAATCAAACATGTTGACATTAAAAAGGATTTCAGAGCACAGCCAGCTTATTGATTAATTCTTAAAATATAAAACACAGATGGCTTGCTTTGCTGACCCACAGAGTAACATGTTTAATTAATAAAACAATATTTGAACAAAGGAAAAAAAATAGCTGAATTAATTCCAATGATAAGCAGAAATCATAGTGAGATGAGTGGAGAGAATCAAATTCAGCTCCAGTTGGCTCTAAATCCCTGGATACACAGAAAGAGGTCTTGGTGCTGCAGCAACACATTTTTGAGAAAAGTATTTCCCAATATTTACAATGCCTCTTCCATCAGCTAGTGTTGGGATCTAAACAGATAAATGAAGGCATATTTAGTAACACAAGTGAATCCTGAGATTGTGGATCTCACGTTACAGTTAAAGGACCATCAACATCAAAAGAAAGATATAAACCACTTCAGTTTGGCTCAGCTTTCACAATCTCACCAATAGAAATGTCTTTTTATACAGAGAGAAAAATAATCAATGAAATTTGAAATTTAAGAGACAGCACGATGAAGACCTTGCCGTCCTCTCGAAAGAAATTAAAGATGAACTTGGCTCTGAAATTCATGCTCCAGACTGCGGGCAGCAAAAAGGGAAAGAGTTTTTTTTAATGCTCCATTGAGTCAATAACAAAATGACTCCCAGCACTTGGCATTAATCCCTTCCATCACTTACTGTCCAAATCAAAGAGTGCAGAGATGTTTTGTTTACTATGGCTCTAATTTTTTTTATTCAATATCACAAATTGTAGCCTCAATTTTCATGCTCTCATTTAAGAGATAGCGGTTGTGTACACTCACCTAAATGCTGGTTTGTGAATGACAGTGAAGTGTGACTGAGCTAAAATCCTTGTGTCAGTGAAGGCAGCAAATAAATGCATCAGGGATTTTTTTTGTATGTATTTCCATGCAAGAATATTCATTGAAAAAATCATCCACTCTGGATAAACATTTCTGCCTCTTTGTTTGGGTAGTGAAAGGTTACTCAACTAACTTCCTTTAAGGTCAGAAATCAGCATCTCTAACCTCGTTTCATCTGTATTCATCCAATCTGATCTAAATCATCTCTTCACACATCCCTGCATCACCTTTCATTTTTCTCTCACCGTGTCTGATATGTCTTCAGCACCTTCACTTTCTCTCATTGCCCGTCATCTCCTGCCATCTCCTCTCATGTCTCCTTCCCCTAACCTCATTACAAAATCACAGTATCTCTTACATCTTTGACTGTGGATGCACAACAGAGAGACTCCATCACTCCACTGTAACCTGAGAAGATGGAGCTCTCTATATATTTTCCTCTTCCAAAGCTGAGTGGAAAATCCACCAAACGAACAGCAGAAGTTTGTATGAACACGACAACAACAGGAGGTAACTGCTGGCCGAGGATGAATGCTAAAACTCTATTTGGCAAAATAAGACGTCTCTCTGTATTACATAACAGACCTGCTGTGATTTAACTGCTAGATCAATTTCAATGAAGTCATTAATATTTGCTTTCTTTTACCTCCTCAGCAGAGTGCGCTCCACTTCTCAGAGAGATTTAATGGGTGAGTGTGCTTGAATGCTAAATCACATTTAGACAGCGATCTGGATGATGTTCAGGAGCGGCTCTGCAACACTTAAAAAGTGCTGTGATGAAAAGCTTCGTGATAGCTGCTACCACTGAAAAAGCACACTCTGTTATCACCACATCCGGTGTCTTCCACTTAATTTTCATGGACAGAAATATTGAAGATCCAAGGAGCCTGTCTGAAATGGCATGACCTCTTGTGAAGCATGTTGATTGGGCTGCAATGAGAAGGCTATCCAATGACAAGGCTTGCAGGCATTAGTGTTTTTGATAGAGGGTAAATCTCACCACTTTTCCCTCATGATCTGAGTTAAAAAACACTATTTTTAACCTTCAGGGTATGTGTGTCATTTCTGTGAATGTTGCCCTTACCATTAGCCCTCTCTGACTGATCCTTTTGCTACTGTCTCCCCTTGGGGCACCCTGACTCAGCATGCTGAGTTGTGTGGGAATACACACGCCATGAATCTCCAACACTGCTGGTGCCCGATAATCATATGCCAGCTGGCCTATTTTTGTGAAAAGGGAAGGCATGATGGACCCTTGAGTCTGCATGGCCTTATTGCAGCCAGGACAAGGACACAGTGACAGATGGACAGTGAAGCTAGGGGACAATCCCTGCACTGGAAGAGAAGGATGCGAGCTGAAAAATGAGCAGAGTAGCCTTTGTAATGTGTCTCATGATAAGGGAGTCATTGCCAAAACATAGTATTATGATGACATGATACCAAACCCAGAGGCATGTTATGTAATCTTGTAAGGTAGGGTATATAAAATTGGCATCGTACAGTATGTGGCCCCACATGCTCCAGGACAGACAAGACAAGGGAGACCGATGAGCGCATCACATGATAGGAGCAGTAGGCACATCTCAGCAGCACCATCATCATCACGAAACTTCTCTCCTTTTATCAATGAACAGGGTGGCGTAGCTCAACCCACCTCTGTATTGATTAGAAGACCCTATAGTATGATTTGATGGTGACACGTAGGTTATTATGTGTGTGTGTGTGTTTTGCCACATGATCTATACTCACAGAATCACTTGCGTTTTTACGCAGCTGCTCCTCCTCTCCCAGCACCGCGGCCGGGTCCACCACCAGCTTCTCGAAGCACGCTGAACCGAGAGATGAGCTCTTCTGCTGGTACATGATCAGCTGGGAGACGGGCAGTTTGGGGCTCCCGTGCGCCGTCAGCTCGGGTTTACTCCCCGTTGCCCCAGAAGCTGCGCCAAGGGGATGTAGCACAGGCTGTCCATCGCTGCTAGTGCCCGGGACTGCATCGCCTCCAAGGTTCTGTTTATCTCCTTGAAAGGGCGCCGGCGTAGAGCAGAACAGATTCGGCTGGGACGACGAAAACACCCGGTCCAGTTGTTTCTTTTTCCTTTTAAACATCCACAACCCCGACTCCTTTTTGCTGCCCTCCGCGCCCCCGGCACCGCGACGCTCCGATCCCAGTTTCGGACTGAGCCATGGCTTGGTTTTCTCCTGGAAATTCTTCCACATCCTCCGCTGGTAGGAGAGCGACTCTTGCCCCTTCGCGGTGCTCTCATCCTTGGGTGATTTTTGCTCCATGGTGCCTGTGCAGCAGCCAGCCAGCCTGAGCACACTCTAAAGTGGTGGTGGAGGGATGTCACAGTTGGGCTGCTGCAGCTCGGGAGCACTTCCACTGATGATCACTTTATAGAGCGCCAAGAAGGAGACGCACGGAGTGATGATGAAAGAGGTTTTAGCCTCAACACGAGCCTTTTAAAAATGCCTATGTGGGCAGGCTGCAGCGTAAAATTTTATGACACACACTGTGCAGCACGCTGGTTAGACGTCAGACAATGTCCACATCTATTGACGGTTTCTCCTCTCTCAGCGGCGAAGTTAGTCACCTGCAGTATTTTCTGCAAGATGCATGCTCAACAAATGCTCCTTTCAGTTGCAGACGGTCTTTGAGTCCCTGCTCTGTCCAGTGAGCCTCACCGGGTTCAAGTCAAACTTCCTCATTAATTGTTAGGCTACATTCAAATGCAAGACGAAGGCTGCACCGCGCCTCCCTCTGGCCGCCCATCTCACTTGACTGGATAATCTGTATGCTGGTGATTGCATAATGCAACTCCACAATGCCTCGTGGAGATGTTTATTATTACTCAGTTACGCTTTCCTTGTAGCAATCATCTGAGTCTGTCTGTGTGGAGATCATACGTGCTGTGTGTGTGTTGGGACAATCTGTAAACTCTCTCGCAGCAGTGACCTTGGTGAATAAAAGGTAGTGAGTCTGAGGCCTCTCATAGGTTTTGCACTATTTTGCACTGCAGCCAAGTAGTCTTGATATGTCCATCCTGTCAAATAGGTCAGGCTTCTCTGAATGCGATCACCCACATGCAGTAGCAAGGAAGCAGCTCTCGAAAACAGCCTCCTCTGTTTCTGAGGATGCTTTACTGCTGCTGCTCAGATATGTGTGCATGCCTCTGTGTATTATCACTCATTATGACTTCTCCTTAGGCCCCGCCCCATGAGGTGACCTGCTATGTCACCCCTGGTAAACACTGTCCCCACTTTCACATAAATAAAAACACAAAGAGAGGAATTACTAGACTGGATGCTCCTCAAGTCTTATTCTCTGAAATGGAGATGATGAGTAAATCACAACAGATGAGAGAGGCCATGGACTTTTCTCATAACATACAGTGCCTTGAGAAAGTATTCATACCCCTGGAGCTTTTTCACATTTTGTCACTCTGCAACCACAAACTTAAAAGTATTTTATTGAGAATTTTTGTCATAAACCAGCACAGGTGTTATTATTACAAACAGGTGGACTCTATTAACTATTGCACTGCATTTTATTTAAGGGTATCCGAGTACAGGGGGCTGAATACAAATGCACACCACTCTTTTCAGATTTTTATTTGTTTACATTTTTGAAAAACCACATTTCATTTTCGTTCCACTTCACAATTATGTGCTACTTTGTGTTGGTCTGTGACAAAAAGTCTCAATAGAATACTTTTAAATTTGTGGTTGTAGAGTCCAGGGCCCTATATGTTGCGTGCATGCAAACTAATGGAATAAAACCACCATAACATGACTTTGGTATCACCTGTAAAAGCGAGGGTGCAGCCTTGACCCTCTGATAATGAGAAAATGAGCCCTTCTAGGTGGATGATTTATCGACATCTGTATAACCTCTGAAGTCTTATTTTGTTTTTACATAGACCAGGTGATACACAAACATTAAATCAAAATCCAATTACACAGTACATGTTCCTCTGGATCACTGCATGATTTCTCATCCCTCCTACAATATAAAACACTTTAATTACAAACAGGAGGGCACTGGCGGCAGCAGCAGCTCTGCACACTGCCCTGAACCCCCTCTCTAATTTGAGGAGATGGAGATGTGAGTATTCGAGCCAGACATCTCCTTTCAGCGACCATTGGCTTCTCTATCGGGCCAGCAGGGATAAGTGATGACCCTGCAGTGTGTCACCCTTTCCTCTTAATGATCCTGGTCCCGTTGATAAGAGACAAATCCAAGTGTGTGTGCTTTTGTGTGTGTGTATATGAATTAAGTTGTTCTGCTGAAGGCATTTGAGTGTAATTCAGTGGCATTACTAGAACAGTTGACTCATTCTGTGTGATGGCGGGGGTTAGGTCGAGCTTTATATGAAACATGATGAGGACATTTTCACTCCAGATGCTGCATCATACTGAATGGTTCATTCAGTCAGAGAAAGGCTGAATACTCAGTGGGTGGATTGTTGAATTATGTGCAATGAAACAGCAGATAATTAGGTTATGATGCCTTCAGTGAGCTTGTATTTCTTTTAAATACAAACTTCACATACATTTACAAACACATTTACAAACAGACTCAATTTTACCGACCAATGAGGAGCAACATGTAGGTAATTCAAAGCTGAATACTCACTTGAAACACAAGTTTTCAGGGTCCTTCATTCATTTTGAGCTTGCAGAGTTGTTAAGGAACCACAGATTTGGTGTGTCTATAAAAGTATGGTTTCAATCAGCTCTGTTGCACATAGCAGAACAAATTGAACTGAAAAGACTCTAATTTGTTCAATTACTTCACGATCATTAATATGAGAGAAAGCATTTTAATCAGTAATAATTATTCCTTGTAATGTGGCATGGATCACACTCAGCTGCATCAAAAGGACCAACCCAGAAGGGTGAGATTAATGTAATACATGACTGGGTGATAGACTCTACATTGAGAAAAACTTTGAACAGTTTATTAAAGGTATTCATCAGTGTAACTCAAGATTCAGCTTAAAGCTCCTGTTAGGAGTTTTTGATGTTGATGAAATAGATTACAGTTCATATTAATGTCTTTTCATGATATCCAAACGCAAACTAAACCATCAGAGACAAGACTGACAATTTGTATCCTCATTCTTAAAGGGATATTCCGGTGTAATATTAAGTTAGGGTCACACACACCACAACACCGAGTTAGACAACCTGTCGGGAGATGAATGTTGCCGAACACTTGCTTCTCTAGTTATACCAACTTTAGTAACCACCTCAGGATAGCAATACAGAGAGCCAAATGCTCAACCAAAACATCTCTCTATAGCCACAAATAATGCTCAGAACAGCACGTAAAATTTGTGATTATAACTTTATCATTGCCTTGAAGTAATAATCATCATATTTATCACTTTGCAGATGCGGTAGTTCTTCTGCCTTAGTGTCTCTGTCTGATTGCATTTCCGTGAAGTAATAATCATAAATGTTCTTCCCCCCACTGTAGTCGATGGACTCGCCCAGAGGTCTCTGTACAAACAAGCAGCTGGTGGAAGAAAGACAGTGAGTTGTGTTTAGTCTTTTTGCGAAAGAAATCAGGCAAAGCTAAAAAGATGTTTGGTGGCTAGTGCTGTGGCTAGGATCCTATATGTACTGTTGATGAAGTTAGGTGCTGTTCTGAGCATTATTTGTGGCTATAGAGTGGCGTTTTGGTTGCGCGTGAGGCTCTTTGTAATGCTATTGTGCGGTTGTTTCTAAAGTTGGTATAACTAGAGAAGCAAGCAGTCGGCAACATTCATCTCTCAACGGTGTGTCTAACTCGGTGTTACTGTGTGTTTGACCCCTAAATTAATTTTACGCTGGAATATCCCTTTAATGCCTGAAAGCAGTGAGGAGGTGGGTGTCAGCTGAGCAGATGAAGAAACGGTCCTATTTTTTACTATTTACACTCAAAGTATTCACATTGAACGTTACATTTAACGGTCAGAAGTCATTTGGATGAGATTTTGTTTTTTTGCTAAAAGACTTTTTAGCATGTAAAAGACAAAATAAGCAAAAACTGCTTTGTCAACACAAGCTGGAGTTCCTCATAAGAGCTTTAAGCCATAATAATGAAAACCCAAATGTTGATTTATAAGGTTATTTTACAGCTCACAGTTAAGCCGAAATGATACCAGTGCAGGAGACACCAGACAACAACAGTTTTAGATTTCTGTACGAGAAAAAATCGATCAACTCAGCGAGACAGGGTTTGACTCAGTAAATGAACTCTGTACGTCTCTGAGGGCTGCTTCTTTAAGAGGAAGCCATATTTTTAGGGGCTGGTCAGTTTGTCACTTCATTTCTCTGGGGTTAGGGGAAAAGTCCTTTTCACACTCTACGCTCTGGTCTGCTGAGTTAAGCTGCTTCATGGAGTTTGCTTTGCATCATTCTCGCATTACTGTGTTGACTAATTCACAGTGGCAGACGGGCACACCCTGCTCGTGGAAACCACAGTTACCAAGTTACAAGACAAACACATGAACTCAAGAGGTGGCTGGACAAAAGCAGAGGCCTGTGAGTATTTGAAAGTGTGAAAGAATTAAAATAACGACTTTGTATATTTGTGTTTAAGAGTGTGTAGCATTTTTATTGCATACTGTTGAATTTAGCACGCTGGGTAAAGACTTAATGGTATGTTGCATTTGGTAAAAATGATATAGCTGAAACACACAGCAGATTAGGGACACACGTGATTTGAAATGATACCAAATCATACGTGTTTTTCCTTTATAGTAAAGAAGAATGTCGCATGAGTCACGATTACAGCCTTATGAGAACCACACCAGGTAACTCTTTATGTTTTTTACAGTTCATTGGAATTTCCTTTAATCAAGAAGATACTGCTTCTCTGTTGTGTTTTTCTTGGCCCTTACAGCTCCTTTGGGTCAGTGATAGAGTCATTTAATCAATCTTTGTCCAAGAGGTAGATACGTTCTTTCTCCCCAGCTGACTGGATCGAATCACTGTTGTGGAGCATTGTGAATCAGGTTTATGAGATTAATTCTTAATCCTCAGAAGCATCAGGAAGGGTGACGCAGGGCGGGAACAAAGATGAAATGAAGGATCTGGTTTGAGAGTGACCTGAGGGCATTAAATACCAATAAAATCCCCTCTACATTATTCTTCTGGGTTACCCTGTGATATATATTTCGAACATATCCTTGTACCTCCACAGCTTAGGAGAGTCAGTTCAACCTTTTTCAGCAACACAAATCCCTCTGTTACCGAATCAATATTAATAGGCTTATAAACTTTTAAGACTCAGAGCTTGTTTTTTTTCTCTCTCTTCCTGTTTACTTTCCCGTTAAGGTCTGATGTCTTGGACAGTGGCCCTCGTGGTCAGGAGAAGACACTTGCGGTGCTGCTGGAGCAGGCCATTAAGATCAAAGAGGAGGTGGCGGCAGGCCTGCAGTCCACCCGGGGCTCCATCCAGGTGGAGGCAATATCCCGCAAGCTGCTGGAGAATCACATATTGACCATTACACGCATTGTTAAGCAGCTTAGCGTGGACATACAGGTATACAAGTGGGTGGATGGTGAGGTTGATGGGGACTGTGAGGCAGTTTTTTGTAGTTGGATGTAGTGCCGTAACAAAGAGAAAACCATTCCCCAACGGAACGGAGTGAATTCTCTTTTTTTTCCCTCTGCTTCTATGTCTTACATTCCCGCTCACCCTTTCATCAGCTTGTCTTTCTTCTCCCTGTCTCTTTTGATGTGCAGCACACACCCACACTCACGGCCACAAACTCACAGCTGATTTGATTACACCTGATAGAATGGTGCAGCGCTTAAGCCCAGCCTGCCCCGGCCTACTCTTCGTCAACAGCGGCTCGTGGAGATTCTGTCTGTATAAGCAGAAAAAGGAGGATGTAGTTAGATAAATACTGACAAGTCGAACACCCACCGACCTCTGAGAAACTACAGTTAGTGTTACTGTGAAGTGCACGAACTGCGTAAGCCGAACATCACACCCTTTCCGTGAAACTGCATTAATGACACCCAAGGATGAAATACATGACTGCCCTGCATACAAAGTGGTTCGCTAATGTGATTAGTGGATGTCATCAACTCAAGTATGACATGAATGTCAAATTGCTCATTAATTGTGTGCACAAATAAGTAATAAGGCATGTTATGGAGTGAATGTGCTACTAAATCAAATTAAAGTATCATTACAGTATCATTATTAGCACTCTTGATGGGCTAGTTGTTTTCTGAAGGTGGGTTATCAGAGGTACTTGGCTCATTCAAACATGTTGGGCTAATGCGTCATTTGAATCTCTAATCCCTGGATCTTATTTCACTGTATCTTGCAGAGAGGAGTTTGACATATTCTGACACAGTGATTCTTTTACCATAATGTATACTTATTTAAGACTGTATTTCAAAATTACAGGTCCATATCAGCATAAAAAAAATACAAAATAAATTAATACAATTCACGGACAGTATAAAAAAAGTACAAAAAGACATATGCTCCTCTGTTTACAAAAACAATCATCTCTCTTAATGGGGATTGAATGAGCTCCTTTATGATTTCATTTTCTAGATCAATTAATGGACACATACATTTATGCATTTCTCAGGACAGCATGGGGACATTGTTAGAAACAAACTCATCTTGGTAACTTGAGAAGGATTCTTTATGCATTGTCGTTGCTCCATGAAGCTGTTTAATTTTAGCTTCGCTGTAACTGCACCGCTGCTTGGCGGGAAGCTGTAAATAGCTCAGCCTGAGCAAATTCACAATCTTGTGCATACAGTTTTCTCGCACTAGTGCTACAGCTCATCATCACTTAAATCGTTTCTGATCATCTGCCCCAGATATTTTACTTTATCTACCACACCAAGCACTTGATCAGATATAAAGACAGGAAGGAAATGCTGCTTCCGGTTGTCTTTGACTGTTAAAAAGCACTCTTTTAACTGTTAAACTTGAAGTCACACTGCTTACTATAATTAGCAAACCCAGTTGCTATAAACCGCCACTGTGAGACGACTAGGCATCAGCAGGCTTTTGCTTTGGCATAGCATCAACTAGTAACTCTAATATCAGCCAAACACAGTCAGATTCAGTCCAAACATATGTTGCTAAAATAGATTAAGTAATCTGATAAATCTCATACTAGTCCAAAAGAAAATTCATGTGTCAACTTACATCTAAGACCCTGATAACACAGTCATTTCTCCAAAACAGGCTCATCTGTCTCATAAACGTTTTCCTGTCATCATTCCTCCATATGTGCTAACTTTTATACAGGTACTTGCGACATTTGGCTGGTAGATGGTTGTTCCTGGTCTGAAAAACTGTGAACTTATGAAGTGAAAAAATGCATCCTGTTTGTCTTGATCAGGCCCTGGAAAGACAGATGGCAGAGCGGGACTCCATCACCTCTGGAACGACTCTGGCTGTTCAGAACTTGGACCATAAAAACACAGCTGGCATTGGAGACCTGAGAGGAAGAGTAACCAGGTATGCCACTGAAGCCTGGATTAAACGGTGTCTAAAATTACCGAGAGACAAACCAGACTGTTAAAAAGTACATCAGTTTAAGGACTACAAAAGATTCTTGCAGATCCAAACTTTTGAAGTTGTCGAGTAATTTATTTCTGGATGGATGAATACACAGTTAAAAAGACAGATTTAGTGAAATTACCTGGATGTCTTTTCCTTCTAATGACCAAAATTGCATCTCCTTCATCATGTCTAGTTCTTTCCAGTCTCACACACACCTTTCCAGCTCTCTCTCTCACACACACACACACACATATGCAGGTTTGAAACACTCTTGATTCTGATTAGCACTTGCTCAGGCTGTGATGATAAAAGCAGATTACATTGCTGAAGAGAGGCCATCACATCACTGCTACTTCAAAAAGAGCCCAATAATAACAGTGTTTTTCAGTGTCGCTACCTCAGTCTAATCCTTTTAAACACTGCCTGCAATGATTGGTCAAGTCATCTCGAGGATATTGCCTGTTACCGAACAAACAGCTGATTTGTGGTTCAATAAAGAGTGTAGGAAAAATTCACCTACTCTGTCTAATGACCTCTTGTTTGTTGGTCATAAATTCTCTGGTAGGTTAAGTGCCAGTGGTTTCTGATTAGCTGTATCGGCTTGGGTGGCTCTTTATGGACAGGCTGTAGTGGTCTACAGGGAAATAACCCAAATTTCACACTGGACATCTTCATAATTAGCAGCTGGTATTGATGATGAGTGTACATAGTGTTTAATCAAAATACTGGCATACACACGACCCACTCCAAGGAAGAAAAAAAGAATTTGCATACATAGAGGTGATGGTCTCAAATTCGTGACAGGAAAGAAGGGGATGCTCTTACACTGCTGGTAAAAGTGAGCAAAGGCAATGTTACAAAAACCGAACATGAAGGATTTTAGAAACTAAACGTTGAAAGCGAGGGGTTGTAAAGGTTTCAGATCTGCTGTCACCTCCAGACATTTCTCATCTCCTCATCTTTACACCAGTCACTCGCTTCCTGTCGTTCCACTTTTCTCGTTCATCGGTTCCACCTCTGCTTCTTCGCCTATTATCTCAGGTGTGATGCCAGCATCGCCAAGCTGAGCGCTGGCGTTAGCCCTGGGGACCGGCAGCTTATTAGACTGCAGCAAGAGGTGGCAGAGCTCAGGTCAGCTGTGGATGTGCAGCTCAAAGGGCTGGAAGCCAAGGTGAGAGATGTTACAGCGCTAGGCAAAAGGGGTTTGTAGTTTAACAGCTGCAAAAAGTACCAAGACACCTGTGTGAAAAGAAAATGGATTCAATTCAGACATATCATATCTTAAAAATGATGCAGGAGGGAAAACCATACCTAAAATAATATGACATTAAAGGAATATTCCGGCGTAAAATTAATTTAGGGTCAAACACACCATAACACCGAGCTATATACCCCCTCAAGAGATGAATGTTGCCAACCACTTGCTTCTCTAGTTATACCAACTTTAGTAATGACCATATGATAGCAAAACACAGCGGTCTGAGGAGCCATAAACAAACCTCAACCAAAACGCCACTCTATAGCCACAAATAACTCTCGGAACAGCACCTAAATTCATTAACTGTTCATATAGGGTCCTAGCCTTAGTACAAGCCATCAAACATCTTTTTAACTTTGCCGAATTTCTTTCGCAAAAACACTAAACCCAACTCGCCTACTCTCTTCCAGCAGCCGCTTGTTTGTAACGAGACCTCAGACCAGTCCATTACGGACTGCAGCAGGGTGACGCAGCTCAAAGAAGAACATTTATGATGTATATTTCCTCTCGTATGCATTTTGCTTATATATGATGTATTGATTTCAAGAAACATATAAGAGTGTAAAAAGTGTGACAACAAGTCCCTGTCTCCCCTACTGCCTTACTTAATTCTTGATTCACATAGGATGGCTGATAACACTTCTTCTTCTTTCATTTCTCTCAGTATGCTGTATCATATTTAGGAGCAAAATCTTCAACCCTTACCTAATCCTCACCTCTTTAGAGCATGAGATTTATTTGAGCAGTCATCAATAAAGGAACAATGGCCTCCTTCTCAGATTTGAAAGGTATTAAAGAGGGATTACATTCATAAATGCTTAAATGCTAATTGCAGAAGGCAAACAATCATCTGAACAAACACATAACAGGCTGTATTTTGCTGTCAATCCTTGAAGGATGGCTGACTGTTTTTGCTGTAAAACTGGCTTTTCCGTGTAGGTTGAGCAACCACAGAATCTGGAAGAAGGGAAATGAGATGTGAAATTACTTCAAAGGATAGAGTCAAGCTGTCTCTGTGGGCAGTTTTGACTGCCCTCTGAGTCTAACTCTCTGTATTAAAAAAAAAATACTATAAAAACGCCCAAACCCTGGATTAGAACACACGTCATGTAATGCTTTCCATCACTTTACTTTATCTTAAGCTGCCCTAAAGTGCTGTCAACAAACACTCTCCCTGATTCAGCATGCACTCTCTGCTGTTGGTGGCACACGAGGGTAAATCATGGTGATGGCCGCACATTAGATGTGGAGCACTGGTCAAGCATGTACCATAAAGATAATTGAAAAGGCAGAGAAAGTGGGTCGCTGCTGTAACTCCCGTGCAGTCCCGACTGGGTAGATGTGCAGAGGCTGAGTTTGACCGACTCAGCAGAAGCCTTAGAGGTGAAAGATCAGCCAATAGAAACATTAATGTAAAGAGCTATCCTCACTGTTTTGTTCCCGTTAGAAAACAGAGGTAGAAAAAAACAAATAAAATGACAATATTGAAAGAAGTGTTTTCATCAAGAATGGTTTATTGTACCAAAAGAAAAAAAGGCACAAAAAAGCAACCAGCAATTTGTGGAAGTATTGAGCAAAGTGATTGTTCATACATGAACTCAAATTAAAGTTCTGTTCATCTGCAGTCATTACTAAAGTTGGTGTAACTAGAGAAGCAAGCGGTCAGCAACATTCATCTCTTGACTGGGTGTCTAACTCAGTGTTACAGTGTGTTTGACCCTAACTTAATTTTATGCCAGAATATCCCTTTACATACTGCTTGACTTCCCTTTTCATTTTGGAAGGTGAAACCCTTTCTAAACAGGTGGCACAAACAGGTTTTTCTCTCCTCCTAACCTCTATATAACCGTTACAGTGAAGCATGTGTGTGTGATTTCTTTTTCTTCAGCTTTATCACGACCTCAAGAGACTGGAGGCCTCATTGTCACAAAATTCCCAGGGTCATAAGAGCTCCGTGTCTGACCTTCAGGAACAAGTTAAACGACTAGAAGACAGGTAAGCTTGTTATTTCAAGAGAACGTTCAGGTCTTTTGGGGGGGAACAGCGGTGCAAGAAGAGGAAGAGTGTCTCTGATAATGCAGGCTGTCTCGAAAACATGTCCAAAAATTTTAATGCATAATAAATGCAGAGTAGAGGATATAAAGGTGGCATTTGAGGTGATCACAAAAGAGCATTAAGGAGAGAAAAAACACTTAATATGAACAATGTCAACACCTCACCCACCCACAGATGCTTCCTCAGTGGGCTGATAGTCCCACTCTATTACCACACGATTACCTGCTTCATTTACACACCAGCAGACCCCATCTTAGCTTTCATTTGGAGAAGAAAACATCCACTTAAAGGTAAATATATGGATTATTTTGTTTGTGTTTACACATGCAGCCTTTCTGGACTATGTCAGGACATTTTCAAGATTGCACTGCATGTGTATGAGCAATGTGGGTTAGGGCAGCATCTCGGTAATTTTCAACTGAACATATCAAGATATATTTGTATACTTCAGTTCTGCTGGTTATACCTATGAAGTATGGCCATTAGAGAATCTAATCTAGAGAAATAAATCTGTTTATCAGATTACGCCTCCTCTCCTTACTCCATCTGTAGCTACACTCCATGGTGCCACAGTCCTTTCAAAATATTGTCGCCTGAGGTTCAGAAAAGCTGTTAGTTCAGTTGATTGACTAACACAGCTAATAAATGAAATCGATAGGCAGAAAAAGAATGCAAAATAAATCATGTAGTTTTACCACAGGGCAAACAGACACAGAAAGAAATGAGTAATGCATTTGTTGTGTTTGGTAATGTTCTACAAGAAGATGTTTAATGGAAAGCAATTTATGGATCATATGAAAACAAAGTGAAGGAAAAAAAAATAAACACAAAGAAATGATGTCCTTTGTGGAACATCTACCATCCATCAATCCATGCAAGGTCAACCACGGGTGTATCATTCTCAAGCAGTTTTAAGTTTTTCAGCGATGTTTGTTTCTTGTCTGCTTTTTCTGTCATGTTTCCAAACTAATATGGAGAAAATAAAGCTGATTTCAGACAATTCTTAATAAACTTGGGTATGTATGGAAAGTTTGGTCGATTTTGCATCCTCCTGTACTTCAGTTTAAAGACAAAACTAAAACTCAACAGTTTGATAATATTATCATTTGAAACCTATTGTCAACCATGAGCTTTTACAACACAGACTTGGGAGTACTGGACTCTGAACATGCTGTTGCTTAATTTTCAAATTATCATAGTGATTGGTCTCACTGCATCAGGCATGATGGTCCATGCTCTGATATTATAACTATCCATACAGGTGTACCACAGGGCTCTGTTTTAGGCCCCTTTCTGTTTCCTATTTAAGCCAGTAATCTGTTGCAAAATGTATCAGACGCTGTGTTCCAGTTTTACACTGATGACACTTTTATATACTCTTGCACAGCGACTCTCGTACAGGCTGTCAAATACCTGCAGAATGTATTTGATGTTGTTCAGGATATACTGCTTAAGCTAAAGCATGGTTTAATTGCAGAGAAAACTAATCAAGTGTTTTACTAACTCAAAGGCTGGGTCACAAATTGTACCCGTGGTGGTCACTGCTGATGAAAACGAGATAAAGGTTGTAAACACTTACAAATACCTGGTTATTCTGATTGATGATTCAATTAAATTCAAACAACATGTAATATACCCAATGAACAAAAACAGAGGCTAAAACTGAGTTTTCATTTTTGAAACAAGTTGGATTTTTCTGTTGCTGTAACATTTTTTTAACCATACTGCCCTATCGTTATATGATTGATATTGTTTACTGTCCATCCTTGAGGTTCATAACGAATCGCAAAGCCCATACTTGGCCATCTCTGGCAACCTGAAGGCTACTGTATTGTTATGCCTTTATTTATAGGCATTTCTTGGCTTGCTACCGCATATCTATGGGTTTTTTATCACACAGAAAAGTGTTGGGCAATATTCAGGGCTTTTTAATGCTTTGTCCAAAAAGCTTATGCTGAAAGTGGTAAAGAGGCTCTTGGGTTTTCTGCAGCTTCAGCCTGAAATTTATGACAGATAGACCTGAAACTCAAGGAGCTGGTGTCTTTGCTGGTGTCTTGAAATGTTTTTCCAACTTAAAAAAGAATGATTTTTGGGTTTGTTAGAGCAACAATTCAGCTTGCTGTACTCCTCAAAGCACAAGACTGCTGACGCCGCCGACAAAAAAAGTCGAACACGTCTTGTTATAAGACAAACTACAGAACACAAAGAACAAAACAAAATCAACACTCTGACTATAGAGAGTTGTTAGACCTTCACAGAGACAGGCGAGCTCTGAAAACTCCTCCAACCCGACCGGATCAGCCATCCTGCTGTCAAGTTCACACAAGGCCCAACAACTGTCAACATTAACAAGATGAACGAGGTCTCTCTGTAGCGTCTGATTTGTACTGAGGATACACACATTGAGTCTTGGCATGTGCCTCATTGATTTTCTCATTAAGGGAGAACGTCTCAGATTGCAAGAATGAGAGAAAAGGAGGTCAATTGAACCTAAGTGCCAATATGTTTTATAAATAGAAGAAAATGTCATCCTTGAGACGAATTCACAAAGCAACCCAACACAGCGCCCACACTATACTGAAGCCTGATACAGTGTGGGTTGTATACTACAGTACAGCCCACACAGTATTTCACTCAGCACGGCCTGATATGAAGCTTTTATCAGAAACGTTTTAACACTGATTACTTGGTGGGCTGTGTGAGTAATATGAACTACTTACAGCTATATTAATGAGCACTTCTTTCGATGAGAATCAAGTGTTTGTCATGTTTTTAGGATCATGCAGCATCATTCTGCTTTTACTTCTTTCTCATTACAGTTTTAAGGCCCCTGTGAGGAGGTCTTGGCAGGTTATGAAACAGCATGAAATTAATAATGAATCTTCAACAACAATGACTAAGAAGTTTTTGTTAATATCTCTAACAGAAGTCATCCTGCAGGCTTTTAATTGTCAAATCTGAATAAATCTGTGAATAATAAACACAAGGCAGTTCCAGGAGTTGCTCAGCTGATGCCTCCCCGTTTCACTAGTTTTAGACATAAATAATGACAATATACATTTTTCAGTCTTGTTCCCATAGGTCTTGTTTGGCATTAACATGATTTTCAGTCTATTTGCTAAACAACAAAATACTCCTCATCAGAGCTTTGACGCCTTTCAGAGCAGGGTTTGAAGGACTTCCGCACTGATTCATGCTTGACCTTCTTTTTTCCCTGAAAAGATGTTTTAGAGATGAAAAAAAAAGTGCCAATAAAGCTTAGGCTTCACTTTCTTCTTTTTATTACCAAGCACAAAGATTTGGCACTTATGATTAGTTTATAATTGGTTTTGATTCGCTGCAAGCATTTATCCGGTTTTTAACAATAGCCTGTCTATTTTGCATTCTTTAAAGGTTCATAATCTATTATACTCATAATGTTGGATCGGACTGTATCGTTTGACTTTAAATGCATTTTCAAAGTACATATTTACATCTTTTTATCCTTTATTTTTTTCAGGGTCTCTGTTGAACTGAGAGAAGCCAAGGAGCAGGCAGATTCTCTGAGAAAGAGGACAGAACAACAACTCAACACCTGCAGCCATCTCTGCACACAGCAGCAGGACCAAATGGTATCACTCCTCTCAGTTTCAAGCCGTTTTTTAAAGACGAAATACAAGTAACGACAACAAGGTTTTTCTGTGTTTCTTTCGATGTCACCTCGGCTGGCTTTTAGCAAGGGTTCTGCAAGATATAACTTTTTGAGTATGGTGTTAAACTGAGCAGAGGTTAGTCACACTTTGAGCTGTGACTCAGCAGAAGAAAAACTGCCACTTTAAGAAAAAATGGAGAAATGTGTGAAAAGAGAGAACAGATGGTGAGAAAACTGCAAAGGGGTAACAGAGAGGATTTGTATGGGTGTGTTATTCAAGAAGCCATGTGAGGTTAATTAATCCTTATAAAACTCGTGTTTGTAAAGATGAGATCTGTGATAGGATATGACACATTGATCATTGGAGAAAGTTTGACAGAAGAGGTTGAAAATAGGTACTTGAGTCTAGAAAAAAAAAAAGAAATGATTAAAAGTAACAGTATTTATAAAAAATACAAATCCAGAGCAAAATAACTTAAAAATATAAACACGGAAAGATGAAAATGAATAAAACTGTGAGTAAACTGGAGAAAACATAAGTAGCGATAACAAAGCAAAGTGGATTCAGATGCACATCTTTATCAGCAGCATGGAAACCTACTATAAGGGTTAATACATCTTGCTTTAAACTTTATCTCAATACACTGTAGAAGTCTAAACTTGTACTGTTTATCATTTAGGACATAGTATTGAGATAGAATACAACTCTATCTTATCTCTTCTCCATTTTAAATGAGCGTAGCACAACCTTGTATCATTATTTATAATGGCTAAAATTGGTGAGATAGAGTAGGTATCAGCCAAGCAGTTAAAGGAACAGCCTTTACTACAGCTCTCTTATAAGATATCCACAGTAAGTGATGCGTTTGATTGTCAAAAGTCAACAGGATGAGGTATTCTGTCTGAAGTCCCGACCTGAGCATGTAAAATACAAGATAAGCAAAGACTACTTTGTCCACAGGAGGCGCCAAAGTTACATTAATTTAATACACCATGATATCTATTTGAAATAAAAGTCAGACATGAGAATAGCTTCGCTTTTTTTTATTTTGTAGTGTGTACCAGAGTTGACATCCTTTCATGGAGAACACGGATTTTCTAAAGTTCATGCTTCTAGTTACTCTGTTCCAGTCTTGAACATAACTGGAAAGAGGTTCAAGGATGATATATTAAAGAGATAATAATTGAGAAACACAAAGAGGCAATAAGACTCTCAAAGCTTAAGAATTAACGAAGAATTATCATATCAGTTTTTTTTTCTGTGTGGTCTTTGTTTAGCTAAAGTCATCATCTTCATTAGCTGACCAGCTACGCGCTCTTGAGAACCGCATGGAGCAGTGGGAGACCCGGAACGATCTGTCTTGTCGCAGTCAGGTGGAGCAGCTGAAACGCTCTGAGACCAAACTCAGTAAAAGAATAACCTCAGCAGAGAGCAGCCTTCGTCAGGAGCTGCAGCTGCTCAAACAGGAGTACCACAAAGGTAGGAGGATGACTGTCTGTAGTTTGCTGTCATCAGAGAGTAAACACACACATAATAACTTTTATCTCACCTTAAACCTCAAGGACACACACACACAAGCTTAAAACCCTTTTCAGTCATGGTTTTTCACCAAATACCTACATCCGTAACACTGACGACAACCAAACTGTGAAGTCAGTATGAGAAGTTTTCTTATTCGAAGGATCTGGAGCTACAGTAGTTCATTATTGTTTCATAGTTATTTTAAGGGAAACTGATTAGAAGTCAGATCAGAAGCAGCACAGTGATGGTTTGTCCTCCAACTGGCTTCAAGAATCACACAGGAGCCTCCACTAACGCACAAAGCAGCACAAACTCCCAGTCGTAAATGAAAGTACAGCCGGATTTATAACCATATCCAATTATATGACTGTGCATTAGAGCTGTCTGATACCTCAAAGAGAAAGCCACACAGGCTTCTCCCAGTGCAGCAGCTAAACTCTGCATCACGCTGCTGTTGACATCCATCCTCACGTCACCACTGTGCCAACTCAACACTCATTTCCCAGGAGCCCTGGCATAAGATCTCAAACCTTCCTCATTTTCTGTCACCCTGTCTTAGTCTCCAGCTCTTATTAAAGGGTAGACAAATAAAACAGAGCCAAGGCCCCCCTCGGTAAATAAACACAGGGACAAACGGTTCTATGAATCACCTCTCAGCTGCCGACCTTAGCGCTCGCTCTATCCGAGTGAAAAGATGGAAGGAGGGGATGATAAAGGGCAGACGGCAATACATAATTTAGGAACGTAAATATCCTCTTCAAGACAGGCGGATAGTTGAACAGAGAAAAAAGAGATTTAATATCCCATCAATGGAAGAAGATAGCTCATCTCTTCACCACAGGTCACAAGCAAAGACTTTTACTTTTGTGTCTATGAAATATTAAAAGATTTCCATTTTTGGAAGCTGTTCCCAATATACTCATGATAACTGATGATTATCACGGTTTTGACAAAACATAAGAAAGAGAGACAGCACAGGTGTATAGAAATGAATTCAATAGTCACTATCAGACAGCTTACAGGAGAAAAAGCTGTAAGAATAAGTCAGAAGGACGGCTCAGAAACAAGATTATACCTCAATCAATCACTGAGACTATTTAGAGAATTTTTCTGCTGATTCTCTGCACATATACTGCTTCCCTTCTCCTCAGGCTTCCTCTCTGTGCACGGCACCATTGAGTCCTTGAAGCGGATAGGAGACATCAAGTCTCGCCTGGACAGGGAGCAGTTTCAACAGGATATCAAGCACATCTACAGTAAAGTGGCAGAGCTCGATGACCCTCTGTGACTGATGAGGAGCCCCTTGTTCGTCGTGGACCTGGCCCGATGGGTTTCAACAAGCCTTTATTTGCTCATTGAGCTGATTCAGCCTGTTCTCTGAGCCTGCAGCTGCTGTATGTAGACTCTATATTTGTACTAGTATGAAACCCAAACCACGTACCACATACCAAATCACACCGAAATCGTGGCTCTTTTAGTCTTGTCCATTAAATGTACATAAAAGAACGCTATTCTATTAAAAGGTTGTTCATTCAGTCTTCATATCATTCAGTGGTTGGTACAATTTATGTGCAATCAGATTTCTTATCAGCCTATATTTTCAGATTGAATTGACCGTGAACTTAGTATTTTCATTCATGTTTGAGTCCTAAATAAACTTGCTTTACAGTGAGAAATCACATTAAACTCAGTTATCTTCTGTCAGCAATCAGAAAGAGGTTGAACCCTAATTTAAGAAAAGCTGGGTCACTAAAAATGTTACGATTATTTCAAAATAATTCGACTCGGTCTTCTCTCAGTGGTGCAAAGACAACATATTAAATGTTGAAACAGAGAAATTTTACAATATGGTCGCTGATCAAGAAGTGGTGGCAGCCAGTTGTAGGAATCGTTCCTCCAACACGGGAGAAAAGAGGAGGAAAAAAAACTGCTTTCTTTTTAATAGGAGTTTAATTTGGTGTTTTAGGCCTGCTGTGTGACATTTCACTTTACAAACAGAAAACTTTGGTTTGATTTCAACAGGGCAGCTTTTAATGAGAACAGAGAACTTCATTTGTTTTGTATTTCGGACAGCAGTGGTGTGTGACCATTATTAAGAACTAAGCGAAGATCTTGGTGTCAAAGAGCACTGCTCTGTGACTGTTTTTTTTCTCCTTTTCGAAGATTGCTGCTCTGTGACAGCGCCTATGAAAAAGGAGAGGGTTTGAAGGAGTGCAGGGTTTGAAAAACAGAGAAAACTTGTTTTTGTCAAGAGAAAAAAATATGGTTTTAGTTATGAGAAGTGCTGCTCTGACACAGATTCTTTTAAATAAGAAACAGTGCCTGGTTTTCAGGACTGCGTCACTCAAAAATGAGAAAACCTCTATTTTGATTAAGAAGAAATCTGCTCTATACTGCATGTCATGATCCCAGTTGAAACAAATGGAAAGAGGACCATACTGCAGGACGATAAAAAGGGTTTATTTTCAAACAAGAAGCAACAAAAACTTACTCAAAAATTTCCAACTCAAAAATCCAAAAGCCAAAAAAAAAATGCACTGGGGGAAAAAAACCACGTGGAGACACTGGAGGCATCGACATACATTCACACACAACACAAAATGAACCAACAAGCAAACAGAGGAAGACAGGGACTATATATACACACAGGGAAACGAGCAACGAGAGGCAGGTGAGACACCGAGACACAGGTGCAGACAATTACAGAGAAGGGAAAACTGAGGAAGTAAAATAAGACTAGAAACACAGGGAATAAACTACTACAAAATAATACATAAAACACTGAAAACTGATATAAGCAATAAAACACTGAGAACATGAGGGAACCAGGGTCAGACACAAACTGAAAACTCACAAGACAGGATTACAGGGGAACAGGAACAATAGGGAACAGAAACACTAGGAAAAATCACAAAGAAAACACACTCCAGGGAGACAAAACCAGGGAAAAACTAACTCAAACAAAAGAACATGTCGTGACACTTCAGTTTTTAAACAGAAGAGAATTTTTCTCTGTTTTTGAACAGCACTAATGTGACACAAATTGGGAGAAATAAAAAAAACAGCTTGTGTTTAGGGAGTGCTGCTCAGTAACTATATTTTTGACAAAGAGGAGAAGGAGTTCTCAATCTGAGCAGCACCACTTTTTGGCACAGGTTTTGGGGAGACAAAACAGAGCTTTGCTTTGTTTTGGGAGGAGATAGGCTTTTTCATTCCCCTTTTTTCAGAAAAGAGAAAACTTGAGTTCTGGGTTAAAAGAGCACTGCTCTACTGCAATCATTACGAGAAGAGAGAGAAAACCTTGATTATGGCAATTAGGAGCACCGCTGTGTGACAGGTTTGGGAATAGAAAAAATAACCTTGGTGTTGTTTGTGAATGGCACTGCTCTGTGACGCAGGCTTTTTAGATAAGAGAGAAAATGTGTGTTAGTTTGAGGAGCACTGCTCTGTGACACAGAGTTTGAGAAAAGGGGAAAGAACTTTGCTTTGGTTTGGAACAGAGCTGCACTGTGACTGTGAGAAATAGGCTTTCTACCAGCCATGAGGATAAGAAGTATTTATCTCTGTGAAATAGATAGCAAAGGACGATGCTACAAGGCCCCTTACAAGTCCAGGAAGATAACTGTATAACTGTATAAAAAGTCTGCAAGTTTTACAATGAAAAGACCAATTCTCAGGCTTGTCATGCCTTGAACAATAAATGTAATAGTTTATTTGTATAGAGCTCATGGTGAAATGTGCTATAGGATGTGGTGGTGCTGATAAATAGAGCAACACTTTAAGACCTAGACACAGATTGACTCAGGAATTTACATAGTATTTGGAGCTTAGTATAATTTTAGGAGTGTATAATTTGCCAAAATAAAATGAACACACTTCAAACAAAACACACCTTTTTATAACAGCAAAGACAACAAATTAAAGGATCACTGATAATATGAAATGCAAACAGAGAAAAGAAAAATCTGGTATACACTGGCATAACAAAATAAAAACAACTGGAGGAAGTATTTGAATACAGTTAACGCTTTTGAGAATAGAAAGAAACCAATCAACGAATGAAAACATTGAACTTCTGTTTGCTTGATCTCACAGAATCCAATAGTTAAGCTCTTCATCACTTTCTTGACCTAACAAAGCCTGTATCTGCACCTAATTTGGACCTTCGGCTGAATTCCGGTCGGATTTCGCTGATCGATCGACGATTATCAAATCGTCGTATATGCACAAAATTGGTCGCACCCATCTGCCGAAACCCGGGATCGAACCAGGGACCTTTAGATCTTCAGTCTAACGCTCTCCCAACTGAGCTATTTCGGCTTCCGTAGTGTGTACAACTACTGCTGATTCAAAGCACAAATAACTGGATTAGTTCTCACGCGACGGCTACAGAGAAGTGCATCTCGACTATAGACTGTCAAATGTGTTGCTTAAAGTTTCAACCGTTAATATTTATAAGCAATATTATAAATGATAAAACTCAAGCAAGCGCAAAATGTACTCCATTAAGGGATTTATGCTAACTATAACCACAAATCAAATGGAAGAATATGGCAGAAAACTTAGTTCATTACATTTACGGATTCGCTTCAACGTGGCTTAGTTTTTTTCTTTGTTATCAACTGGAACCCTCTCTAACAATGAAATGCTGCTTAAAACTTACATTGACCCGTACGGGAATCGAACTCGATACCTTGGCGCCCTCACTCTCACCGACTGAACTAACCGGCCATTGGTGGAAGTTATCGTGACGTTATCAACCATGTATGAAGCTGGCAGAAATGAAAGTAAAACTGCTAAACTCACCAGGCGACGACTGCGGAAGCACGGTAAGTTTTATATTTTCAAGCTGGCAATATTTCATCTTCTCAAACATAGAATCAGGGGTCACAAGATATTTATTATTGAGTTGTTTATTTAAGTTTATAAGTTTCTGACAGAGGGATTTATCAGAGTAGTTGCCCTCATTAGTTTGGCCTCTATGTGGAAAAAGCCCATCGATATTTAAAGGAATTGTAGGAAGGAAATTGAAAAGGCTAAAAGGCTTTCAGGAAGTAAAGCAGACACATTTATTGAGAGAGAGCAAAGAAGATAAACAGAAAGCTACAGGATACACCAGAGATTCACTGGGCAGTCATGCCACGCAAATAGTACAGTTCATATTAGGGTTGTGTCATTCGCGAACGATTTGTTCAAAAGAACCGAATCTTTTAAGTGAACAGAATCACTTCCTTGAGTGATTCGTTCATTTCTCTCTTCAGTTGAGCTGAAGTGAGAGACAGCCTTGCCAGGCCAGCAGCTGGCAAACGAGGGACCACATGCACCGACGCCTAAATCACTTGGTGAACAAATCACGCATTGAACTACACTCTCTTGAATCCTTTTTGTCGGACAAATCTACCTTTTTTTCACTGCTAAATTGCCACCACAACAATTTGCATACAATAGGACAGCATGTAACAAGTAGTGCATCAAACCTGCAGCATCCTATCATTGCAGCAGTTTGCCTGGGAACGGTGCATGTTCAGTGTGAATCCTCTAACATTCAGTGAACGAATCACTCACTGACCCCAATTTACCAGCAGACCTCGTAAGTAGCATACCATAGGACAGTACACTTAAAACATCATGACTTATATACAAGTAAATTTTTACCAACCTGTTTGCCAAATCAACACAGCCAAACACTCTGGTCTCCTGGTCCCAGAAACTATGAATTGAACTGAATCCTGAACGGTTCAGCTGTGTATCAGTTCAGGAGGTCGGAGTCGCAGGCTTCTCCCTCCAAGCACTAAATGATTCGGTAATTTGGTGAACGAATCTTTTAAACAAATCTTTTTAGTGAACTGATTCTAGTGATTCAGTACATCTAAAAGAACTGCTGTGCCCATTACTAGTTCATATAAGGTAAACTCATGTAGCTATGTTAGGGCTAAGGGGATTTATCATTTCTTTCTGTCAGGAGAACCCTTGTGCTGTTTTATCCAAGTACATTTACAGTTGGTGCTCCTAAATGCATTCAGTAAAGATGCCAAATTTCTGATTTTATACCCACAGCTAGGACTCTCACAGGATGTCAGTAGAGTTCTCTGGCTGGGAGGTGGTGGACGATGGTGCCTCTTTTTCTGGTGTGGAGCTTGAAGAGTCCCAGAGACCTCAAAACCGTGGCGTCTACGCTATGTACCATGGAACCAGCATTGCCAGTGCAAGGCTCATCATTTCCGGTGGCTTTAAACAGTCATCAGGTGGCATGCTGGGAAGAGGCGTGTATGTCAGTCGTGATATAAAGAAGGCTTCACATTATCCACTGAATAGTGCGATCACAGACCGTGTGGTCCTAAAGGTGCGTGTGCGTGTTGGCCGTGTCAAACGCATCGACCAGGACAACCATCCAATGCAGTTCACTTGGCATGCTAACGGTTATGACACCGCCTGGGTGCCCCCCAACATTGGTCTCAAAGCTGTGCGCAGTGGCCTAGAAGAAGATTGTGTGTTTGACCCCAAACGAGTGGAGGTAGTTGGAATTGCAAAGGCACCCAATAATACCATCGAGAGGGAAATGAAACAGCTTCTATCAAAAAAACGCCATGCAGGAAGAGGAGGTCATGCTGCTGCAAATCTGTGTTCGCTGTGCAGGAGGAAAACCCAGCAGGGTTCTCCACATGTCATACAGCAGTGCTGGGAGTGTGGTCAAAAAATCTGCATCCTCATGTCCAAGCACTTCTGTCCTGCCAAAGGGGGGAAAAAAGGAGTTAAAAAGTCTGTATAGACTTTAAACATGAAGTGCTGAGAAAACACAACTGTTTAGGGCAGAAGTTGTAAACTCAACTTGCAATTTTACTTTAAAAATTGTTCAGTGTGTCTTTTCAATACAGCCTGGACTACAATTTATTGAGAATTATCTAAATGCTTTAGGGTGGGAATTTAATCTTTATTACAGTTTTACTCTGCTTACTGTTGTGTTTTGCCTTAAGTATTTACTCATTGTCTTTTGTTGTCCTGTTTAACCTGTTGTGTGTGGTAACATGTAGAAAAAGTTTTCATATCAATTTTTGTTTCTTTTTCAATTGGCTGACTGTTATAGGCCAATCAATCAACAAGCATGCAATCTAAATCAAAGGCTACATGTTAAGCAAAGTTAAAGGCTTCAGTATGCTGTACTCTAAATCATGAACTGTACTAAAGCAAATAAATTTCTTTGCTCTGTCATCAGAACTGATATTGTTTTACCTGGGTAGTATGTTGAGATGCATTCCTCTTTCAGAAAAAAACCCCCACAGTATTTACCAGGGCATTTTACCAAAGGGAGGACAGAGAGGAGCGAGACATCTTTAATAAATTATTCATTCGGCAGACTCCGAAGTGGCATGCAAACAAAAGATGAGAGGATGTGTGCACAATCAAAGTTGTGTTGTACAAACAAGCAGTTTGTAGAGAGATATTTTGGCTCTCAAGATCTGCTAGCGTAGTAAGTCCTGTCTCCTGTCAGGCTGATACAAAAATAGACTCTACCGCATGAAGGCTGGGTATGTTTGAGTGAAGTGACTCTATCTTGAGGAGTAGTCTTGTTGTGAAATGCTGCCTTAAATATCATGAAGTTTTGTATTTAGTGAGTTTATGTTTACCAAACACTAAACTTGAGGTGATTTTTTAATATATTTAAGGTTCACACAAGAAAAGAGATGAGGTAAGTCTGTGAAAATATGTCCTTTTCCTTTTCCAAGTTTTTAGTAACAGATATTTAGGCTACAGTTCATCTTTTTTTAAATAAGTTAGGGGTGATTCACACTTATACACTAGTAGCCAAAGTCTTTTAATGTTGTTGAGAGAAAAAGTTCAGATGGCCCGTACGGGGATCGAACCCGCGACCTTGGCGTTATTAGCACCACGCTCTAACCAACTGAGCTAACCGGCCATATTAACAATCGAGGAGGCCGTTTCCTGAGATCTTCATGGCATGATTTCATATTGATCTATTCATATGGTAGGAGGGAAGTGCTGTCGAATTACTCTGAATAGAAAGTGAAAGTTACTGGTGTTAAAGCAAAACGACTCCTTACCGACAGTAAGTTTCTCCCTCTGACTTTTTAGTTTTATCTGAAACACAGGTAGAATTTCTCTTATGTCGTCCCTTTGCTTTGGTTTATGACAAATATAGATAACTGAATCCTTTTTAGCGTCCCAATTACAGCTTTGCGATTTAAATAGCCTACCGAAATAGCCTTAGCGTAAAGGACTGAAAGTCATTTGACGGTGACTTTGTTTTTATATTGGACGAAAAATCATTACCTTGTGGTCTACTTACACCAGAATGTGAGAACAAGTCAGGAATGTTACATTTGTGTATAGGAATTAATGAATTATTCACTTTTTATTTACTTTGTCAAGAGATATTTGGATGTAAAATTGTTCGACAGCAGAGGGTTATCTAGTTTACTGCCCACAGACATTTGATTTCATCACCTGGCAGGTCTGTCCAGGCCTACAGTCATGTCTATTTCCACTCACATATCTTTGAGATGTTCTCAGGAGAGTAGAGATCTAACCACCCAAGTCTGTGATTATAAAGTGATCTCTTGTGTCCATTTTCCAGCTCTCCAAAACCACTTCCTGTGTCAGTGTCAGGATGTCAGTGCAGTTTTATGGCTGGGAGGTTGTCTATGATGATGACACCCCTCGTGTGGAGCTCGGGGCCTCTCAGGCGCCAAAGGACAGGGGGGTCTACACCATGTACCATGGCACCAGCCTTACAAACGCACGGAACATTATACCCAATGGCTTTCAGCAGTCTTCAGGTGGCATGCTGGGAAATGGCGTATATGTTAGTCGTGACAAGAGGAAAGCAGAGCGTTATCCATTGAAGAGTAACCCTTCAGACCGAGTGGTCCTGGAGTTGCGAGTGCGTGTGGGTCGTGTCAAGCGCATCGACCAGGACAACCACCCCATGCAGTACACCTGGAGCACTCAGGGCTATGACACCGCCTGGGTGCCCCCCAATTGTGGCATGAAAGCCGTGCCCAGTGGTCTAGAGGAGGACTGTGTGTTTGACCCCAAAAGAGTGGATGTAGTCGGAATCGCGAAGGCCCCGCCGACTGTACTGATGGAGCTCCAACAGCTTCTAGCCAACAGAAACGCAGTCAGTTTGGGGGGAGCAGCACCTCCTGGAAGTGCTGCGATGGATATTTGCTCAGTGTGCAAAAGGCAGACACAGCAAGGTTCTCCACACACCAAGCAGCTGTGCTGGGGCTGTGGGCAAAACATCTGTACCCACATGGCCAAGCATGTATGCCGAGCATTTAATTGAGAGGATCTGGTAGCCTTACAGATCTGAACTCTTCACAAACATGCTACAAGGAACCAAGCCTAGTATATCTTGTGCAGTGGAGGGAAAACCAATGTTTACATGGGAAACAGGTGTATCAGTTTTGTTAACTTTCAGGCGTAACTAAGTTTAGGAGTCAAAATGATAACTCAGGGATTCCTGTAAAGACTTAAAGTACTCTGGAAGAAGTTAGGCTTTCAAATTTACAGTTTAACCCTTGAACACTATCGCAGGGTGAATTTCACCCGACCAAACATGTTTATGTGATTTTCATTGTGTTGCATTTGTCTAAGTATCATGGGTCCCTGGGTAGCTTCAGCATTGCCTTTGACATCTTTGAAGGCATATTTGTTTCCATGATCCAAAACCTGCTTTTTCCTACAGGCACGTGTTCGGGTGATTTTCACCCGGCAATAGTGATAGAGGGTAAAGTTGGTTTGGGTCGATTTGATAGCTGCATGCAGGGAATAAGGTCAGGAAGAGTGGTCCTGGAATTTGCATGCTATCTTTATTTAGCGCCGTAGTTATGAATAACTATCACAAAGTAGAGATATTCAAGGGAATTCATATGGTGATAAGAAATGTTTTTTACTCACTCAAAATCTGCCATAGAGAGAAACTAAGAGAAACTAAGTTTACAGTTTCTATTATTATTATTATTTTTTTTTTTTTAGGAATTTTTTTGTTCATGAATGCCTAATTTCAGTTTTTTTGTTGCATTTTATATGGTCCCCTCATGGCGCTTTTTTTCCTCCCTTTTGACATTGCACAGTTAAAAAGAAAACTACTTTAATTTGTCATGTATTGTTCTATTTTGATATATTTTGATGACAAGCACTTTTTCTTGGGTATATTAATTCAGGTAAAAATCACCAGCAATAGTGTTCTTGGGTTAATGAAAATTTTTGCCATATTGATGTTATGTGCATTAGGATCATATGCAATCAAGATGAGACAATCTTTTATGTCGAGCGAAAAGCCTTTATTTCACTTGAATGTGGATATCGGTTGTTTTATGTTGAGTACAGTTGGGGTAATATGTGTCAAAGTTCATGATTTTGATTTCTTAAAATGATTTAATTTTCTGAACACAGCACAATCTAACACCAAAGAGTCATGTTAAGCCAATAAATGTTGTATGTGACAATCCATGGTGTCCAGTTTGATGCAATTTCATTCTAAGTAGGGAGTAAAGCTTAATTTGTGAAAAATAAAACCACATGGTTGCAAGAGTTCATTGTGTTGCTGTAGAAGACTTGGAAAGACTCAGGCTGACATGGAGGCAAGCAGTGAGTTAAACTCCAGCAGTCTTTCATTTCCATTCGTTTTGGCATGCTGCAGAAGAGCCTGCAAAAAAAGAAAAAAAAGGTTAACATCAAATCTGTGGTGAAACACACAACACTCGTCATATCATCAACACATCAACACAAGTTTTAAACTTCTGTATTTCATCTGCCATTGTAGTTTCCACATGTAATGGATAAAAATGTAAAATTTCAAACACAAATATTACACCAGAAAAAGCGCAGTAGAGGTCCAAATGAGACAGCTGTGTGCTTACATTGATCAGCTCCTGATCGTTTTTGGCATGCAGGTGTCTGAGGAGGTACCAGCTGGCCACCTGCATCACTGTCACAGGGAAGTCTTGAGTGGGGACGTACACCAGCCTTTCCAATAAACGCCTCGTTTCCCTGCAGATGAAGCACGTACAAATCATTAGGTACATAACATGGGTTTTGGGATTTGTCAACCAACATTGGTTGACCTTTTTTAGTTGGTAGGAAAATTTCATGTTAACTGATTCAAATATGAAATCAAATGAAACCATTGGATGAAACTGCCTTTAATATTGTGATTGTTTGGCAGAGAGGAGCTCCTGCAGCCTCTCACGAGGAGTTTGTCCAGTTTATGACTGGCATATCTGCTCTACTCAGCTCCCTGGCTAATGCAGCTCTCTAATTAAGCCTCCTGGCAGTCCTGTGAGGTGGTGACAGAAGGCTATTATTTCAGGACAGGGAAACTTTGTAACTTGCCTTTCAGTGCCACAAGTACAAACATGTTAAGGAAACAGATGGAAGTATAAATCAGAAGTTTAGAAAAATTGTGATTGATACCATCACTTTAGATAATACAGTGTATCACACTCACAGGCCAGTGGGATGAAATCATTTGCACATGAATTCAAAACAGCCTGCACATTTGCAACACAAATGTGCATTTGCATTCTTTCTGCTGCAGTAGAAACAGAACACCAACAAATGCACTGACCTGGCAGCCATCTTGGTCACGTATTGGAGCAGGGCCTGGAAAAGGAGGGCAACAGGTGAGGAGCCCAATTTCAAGACCTCAGTCGTGGCTTCAACTATGAGGTTAGCCCAGTCGTTTCCTGGAATGCCGGCCTGGGGGGACAGATCACAGATCAGAAAACATTTCAGCCATCCACTGAATTTGGAGAGTATTCAAATGGGACAGTAATGCCTGTCTATGGTTTTTCATCTGCTGCTCTCAGGGGTACAGTGGCTTTTTATGCATTAACAGACACTCAAGGAATAACATAAAAATGATTTTTTTATGTAACGAAAGCAGGAAACCCTGAAATTTTCTATCCTGTGAGCAGTGGACCAAAAACCACATCCCCTCCAGTTGCATGACTAACACAGCTTCTTGTCTCATTAGTTTTTCTGCCTGACCTCAGCTGCTGATCTCATAATTTGGATGATATTCACCCATCTTTATCCACACTCCATTGTCCCTGCCCATGTAACAAGGATGTAGACAGGAGCCCCCTCTGGACTGACGTGTCTTTAGTTTTAACAATTTAAACAATTAAAAGAGCTTTTTGCAGAAAGAGAAACAAGTAATTTCTGGCAACAGCACCACAGGATTAAGAATTTCAAACGACTGATCACATAGGAACATTTTGCTGGTATATCTGTGTTATATGAGACTCACCATACAGGGTCCAAGGGCCAGCAGGGCCAGTCGCAGCAGACTGGCCACCTGGCTGCTGTGCAGGCCGAGCTGTGAAGCGAGCTGCAGACTCTGTCTGTACGCCATGACTGCCTGGACCAGCAGGCCTTGGCTACGATACACCTCAGCCAGCCACTGAGTGAGGAAGAATAAAGGAGCGTGATTAGACTGTTACGTTGAGATGGCAATGTGAGATTTACAGAGGTATGATCTTGTTGGAAGCAAGATTCAAAAAGAAACAAAGACACAAAGAAACAGAGAAATAAAGACATAGAGAAAGAGGTGAAAATGATACAAGCATTTTAGACTACTAATGACAAAATTACATCCTAAATTACAACGTCTGTTGCCTTATGTGATAGTGACAGACATTTTGACCCCACATTAACATTAGTAATGTGGTCATTAACCGCTCCAACAATCAGCCAATATGTTAGCTGCTGGTTTCCTCACTGCTAGCCCACTGCTATTTAATAATAACTGCAGCAATCGGAGGTCTCAAGCAAGGCACAGAAAATATCTTCATTAGGTCGGTGTCTCTGCGGGAGCAAGATAATTAGGCATCTTTGGTTTGAGTGGGATATAAAATCTTATCATTAAGACCACATAGGACCGAGAAGATCATTATCGTCGAGCCTGTATTTCCTATATGCTCAAAAACACAATAATAGACTGTGTACGGGTTGTTATTTTACAATCAATGCGGTTTGTAACATTCAAGCATTAAACAACTGGTGCTTGAAATTTAAAAGGAATAACTCATCAGTATTTCACTCCAATGAAAAACACTGTTTGGTCATTAAAATGAGTCAGTGTCCACCTACATGCCATGCCCCGACGTTGGTGGGGTTCGCCATCACGGTGCTGTTAAGCTGCTCCAGCACAGAGTCTGGGAGGACAGTGTTGGTATTAGCAACAAGGAGCCGCTGACACTGCACCTGTCTTAGAGACAGCATTACTGCTGGGTGATCTGGAGATACAGTCAGAACCTGGAACAGAGCAGACGGGTAAGAAGAATGAAGTGAGTCATCATGTTCATTATTATATATTCTCTGATATCATACTCAGGGACTGAAGCAACAACGCTGTTTGAACATTAAAGCACATCTTATTTTGCATATCTCGAACACAGCAGCACAACATTTCAATTACATCTCAGCTTTCTATTCTTCGCATGCCATCAGAAGAAAACAGATAACTACCAATGAGTGAGTTTCTGTGATTGTGTGTGAAATTTGCATCTTTGTTTTGATATCACACCTGAGAGCAAAGCGCCTCTGCCTGGTCCTGCTGTCCTCCCAGCATGAGACCAGTCACGGCCTGTTGTAGGACCCAACCTTCAAGAGACTGGGCTAAGGGGCGCTCTATCTCCTCCACACTACGCACTGAGATACAGAGGAGTGTCAGCTGAATATTCAAACACCGTCAAAGTAATGAACGCAATGAAACGCAAACAAACACACCTTTCTCAGACACCACTGACATCAGGGTTTGTTCCAGTCCTAGTCTGAGAGGAGCAGAGCCGGAGAGATAACAGGAGGTGTTCTCTGTGTGACAGGCAGCCATTAATCCTGCCCATGCAGCTGGATCATCTGAAAGGTTTGAAAAAAATGGAGACAGAGAAAACTCAACATTTGTAAACAGGGACGTTTATTCACTTGATTTTTTTGATAGAGGTGTGTGTGTGAGTATCAATACCAGGACAGAGCAGCACAGCTCTCTGCATAGTCTTCAGTGCATTCCTGTGACTGTCCTCTCCTGAGTGTCTCCCGTTGGCTAGCTGGTTCACCCCACTGTACAACAACGCCCTCTGCAGGACCACATGTTTGAACCGAGTCATGTAAAGATACTGAGGCAGGTATGATATCATACTGAGTTCATCTTTGGGGTACTGAAAGAGGTTAGATAAAAATATATGAGTAACAAGGTACACAAAACTGTTACCTTTCCTTGGGTCATACTGGAGAGACAGGCGACCTGACCAGCCATCGCTCCTCCCTGAAATACACAACAGACAAACTCTGAACCCTTTCACTACTACTGTGCAGTGAAGCTTTCGATAAAGTGTTGTTTAACTGTTTGATATGAGCTATGTTTGTGTTTGTATGCAGCCCTACATTTGCCTTCCTGGGGTGGTATTGTGGTACCAGTCTAGACAGCAGAGCCCACAGTGACGGGTTTCCAGGATTGCTGTGAATAACATGTATCAAGATGCCTTTCACTTTTATGTATAAATGATGCAGTCATTTATTTTTCAATTGAATACACTGAATTGGTCGATGTGCTCCAGTACAGCTCATCAGTTCAAACAAGTGGTTTACCTGTGGACAGCTCTGGAGGCCTCTCTCTGCACCGCACTGTAGTTGCCCTGCAGGGCCAGAAGAGCACAGGTGAGCAGACATCGCTGCTCAGTCACACTGCCAGAGGCTGAACCCTGCTTGAGCAGCTCAGACAGGGCAGCAGCAGCTAATGTAGCGTCACTGTGGACAAGTCCCAGGGCACACAAACACAGCAGAGACTCTGAGATCGGCTCCTTCAACATTGAGCTGTGAGGATGAAAAACAAGCAGAAGAACCCTGTTAATATAGTGCAAATATTATCACAGGAATTTATTTGCTAAGAACCCTTTAAATGCAGAAAAATACCCCATATCCTGGTACATATCTATTTAAAGCTAACTGTTATTTTGACTTCAGTACAGTTTTTAAGTTTGAGGTGAAGGAAAAACAAACAAACAAAAAACCCTCTTGGTACTGTTCAGAAAATTCTGACTCACCATTTAAACAGCAGAGTCTTGGCTGAGTCCAGGTTACCCTGCCGATGCTGAAGGAGAGCCAAAGCGGTCAAGACGTAGGCCTTCTCTTTTTCACTGGAAGCCACAGCCAAAGCCCGTTCATACGCTGAAGAACACACACAAAAGTGATTTTTACAGAGACATGAAAACTCTCACACAGGCTGTCTTATCTTCCTGTTTGTTAGTCCTCACCATTACTGCTTTCCAACAGGAGTCCTGCCCTGCAGTAAGCCAAGGCCAGACCAGCAAGGTCACTGAGCTCCTGCAGTGAAGTGGAATTATAAACCTGCACCGCCTCCTCCCACTGACCAGACATGCTGCAAACAAGACAGTGGGGAATGTGGAGAGAGGAGTGAGGACTGTTTGGGAAAGTATTGTTCAAGACAGTCAAAGTGCAAAGTAAGGTAACATTGTTTAGTTTACCACAAAGTACGACCATAGCTGCCCAAAGCAAAGGCAAGCTCCTCTGATGAGGACATGGACTGAAGCAGCTCAACAGCTCTGAGAACGGAGAGTAAAGATTGAGAATGGTGAAGTGTTAATAAAAATCATAAATATTTTTTTATTTTTTAGATGAAAATATAGTGTCTCTGATTTATTTCAGCCAAAACACACACCTTTGGTAAGCTTGCAAGGCCTGCCTCTTCAGATTTAGATGTTCATTTAGGTAGCCGAGCATGATGAAAGCAACAGGATCAGACTGGATTCTCTCTAGATGAGGTACAAATGATAAACGAGGTCCAAAGGATCAATCTTTCACAGAAGAGCAAAATAAAACCAAGGGGAGGGCATATTCTGGAAGCACATCAACATAACTGATTAGACGCTGCACCTGTGAACTTGCTGAGTGCCACCTGAGCAGCAGAGATGGCATTCATCTGAACAATGTTGTATCGGTACAGTTCAGAGTCTCTGTTACTCTTATCCAGCAGGGTGGTACACACCCAGTGAGCGTAACCTTTCACTCCCTCCATCTGCAGGGAGAAGAGATGCAAATGAAGAGGGAGAAAAGCAAACCATGGCAAGGCGTATATACAAACTCTGACCAGAAATCAGTACATTGTCATTTTAGTTAATCACTAATTACTTTTAGTCGCAGCAAAAATGAAATGCAAGTGATAAAATGAAACAGGGTCAGACAAAAAACTATTGCAAGGACTAAACTATGACCGTGTAGTTATTTATTGGCTACTGCAACAGCAACTCAGGTCACCTACATGTGTGCTGAGCTCAGTGGTGTGCCTGAAAAGATCCATGGTGTCATAGCTGCCAACTCTCTCTGCTATCAGCGCCTGGAGGAGGACAAAGGGGAAATTAGTTAGTCTACTGAATACTGGCACAGTGATATGTGATTTATCCCTGTATTCAGAAAGGTCCTGAATGCAGATTACATATATTTCATAGTCCTTATCATTCCTTAACCTCTGCACAAGAGCGAGAATATCTAACAATGTTGTCTTTTGCTTAGTTAGCTACGGTTTTAGATTCTGCCAGACTGGCTTCACAGATGCATGATGACAGGCTCATGTAAAAAAAAGGTGTTAATTATCCAGAATGATGAATCGAGGTGACCTTTTCCTAACGATGTTTTTGTACCTGTCCGATCCAGCAGTTGACGTAAAGTGGCTCCAGGGACTGGGCGATCTTAAAAGCCTCGTGTGCAAGCTAAAAAAAAGAGAGAGACCATGCTCTAAATACAGAAAAGTCAGTCTCCTCTGACAAAAAGATGAACTTTCAAAGACAACCCATCACACAAACCTCAATATTGTCCTTCTTCAAATACAAGGTACCAAGGTTGGTCCAAGCTACAACATTCTGTGATTAAATATTAAAACAGCCACATTAGACAAAACAAATATTACGTAAAAACACTATAAATCACCTAAGAAGTGTGCAGTACTTACATTTGACTCCACCTGTGTTGCTTTAATGAGGCAATGTTGAGCCAGAGCAAAATTTTCAACTCCTGAAAACCCACAGGGGAAAAGTTAAAAAACTGTACTGTACATTTTTTCTGTTACACACATTCAACAAAATGTACCTGTATTTAAGATAATTTCTTACAATTTGTTTAACAGTGACGCGTCACAGATATTTTGACTTTTAAATTTAGAAAGTGCTGTTTTTATTTTACAGACCCATGACTTTTCCTAAATACCAGCAGCCAATATTATATTGGCCTTGCAATTAAAGAGGAGACAAGAGTCATTGATTCTCCCTTTGGACCAGAGTAAGTCTAGTAAGGACAGCAGTTTTAAGGCGTTTTTAGAAGATTACATTCGGTGAGCTAATTTGTACTTTGATTCAAATGTCTTCCGGTAACCTTAGCCAACTGACATTTAACTGAATTGTCTTTATATGTAAAACTTTCAGTGTTTTTAATCAAAAATTTTGAAAAAGTAGACATAATTTGAAAAATATTCTTTTTAGGCCTATTTATTGTAAAGATTTGGCTCTCTAAAAATGAATGTTTGCTCTTTTTTGCATTATAAGTGGATGTTTGTGTTTAAGAAAGAGCAATGAGCGTAAAACAAGGTGTCAAAACATAAGCTCGGAGTGTTTTATTTTGGGAGACCACTTCATTCTGGAGACCACTGATACTCAAGTTATCATATTTTATTTTCAAAGGTTTCGATTTTGTTCTACGCTAGTTTTGGGCAGGTCCTCGGAGTGATGGTGTCTTTAGTCCCTTGTTTTTGTTGGGGTTAAGTTGTCACATTCTGGTCTTCACTTTGAAGGCTTAATTGTTCCTCATCAATAAGACCATAACATCACTCAAAGTAAAAACAATTCATTTAATTTATTCAGGAAAAGTTATACTTAAACATGGCAACTTTTTCACATCAGTAAAACACTGATGGCTTGTGTACACATTACTAGTACTAATACCGCCACTATCCAAAAAGAGTGACATATAAATTACCTTTGCTCATGGAAATCACCCCTAATGCGTTCCAGTAGGAGTGATTCTCGCTGTCCATCATGATCGCCTTTTTCAAACACTGGCACAAGAAAACAAACTCTCATCAGAGGACATCTGAAAAACACAACAACCTCAAACTGTCATTACAGAGGATTATCTGGGGTACCTGCTGGGCCTTCTCAAGAAGCAGAGATGGGGAGTCCTGGTTCTCTTGTGAGGTACAGGTAAGGCGGGACTGGTGGTAATAGTTGAGTCCCAGGTCGTACCAAAGGCTGGGGACATCAGACATCAGCTTCAAAGCTCGGGCATAACACCTACAGACGAAAAATACACATACAAAACAAAGACAACTCTGCAGTTAAATGTACAAGTTTTAAGAGTATCACATGCACTTGCTGCTCAGAAAACACCTGCTTGTGGTCATACCTCTCCCCAACTTTAAGTATCTGGGCCTGGCTCAGTGTGTGACTCTGGGCATTTGAGTCTACACCAGCCAGCTGGGTCGGCACCTGGACCTGGGCTCTGTTTGGGGACACAGTCCTGACTGCAGTGCAAGCATCTCCAAGCAGCTTCCACAAACATGACAGGTCAGGACGCAGCGTCACAGCTCTGAAGAGCACAGAGAAGTGAAGAGATTGATCAGCAGAGTCAGGGAAACACTCTGATAAAACACAATGTACCCCTGACATCGTATTGTATCGTACTTGAAGAGGTTCTGTATTGCTTGTTGAATGAGATCAATGGCTCCCCCGTCTCTGCAGTCCTCCATCAAACTTTTTGCTAGAGATAACTGACACTCCCCAAGTCCTGAAGAGCAGATCACACAATCTAATTTAATCTTTATGTAAACAAATGTATTTGACTCGTTTAAACTGATTTTGATTTTAAGTCCAAGTCTTGGATACGCTGATAGATCCTTTACCTTTCAAAGCAGGAACATAGTCCTGCTGTGCTGTGATCTGCAGATACTCTGCAACTGCCTCCTTGAACTTGCCCAGGGTCTGTTTGATAGCTGCAGCCTGGTAGACGCTGTAGATGGAGGAAGGCTGAAGCTGATGGGCTTTACCAAAGGCTTTCAAAGCTGCTGTGAAGCTCCGGCGGTTTAAGTAGGCCTCACCTAAACACTCCCAACACACCCAGTCATCAGGGTCTGCTCTCAGAGCTGCCTGCAGACTAGGAATATAAAGATATTGACCAATCACACACTTAAAATACATTTTATAATGTGGTAAATTAGAAGGTTTAATGCCTGAAGTTTCGATCTCTTACTCTGCTGTGGCTTGCTGATGCTCACCGACCTTCAGGTGGTAAAGCCCTCGTCTCATCCAGGCCCATTTAGCTGAGCCTGGAGTAGCTACCTCAATCACAGACTGAAGGGTGGCTAAAGCGGAGTCCTGAAGTATTTTGGTGGTAGAAAGAAAAACAAAAGAAAAACAGATTAAATGAGGAGCATGAGGAGGCTGAAGACAAGAGAAGTAACAGGCATGAAAACACAGAAATAATCTGCCAATACTGCACATAACCATCCTGGATTTTAAAGTTAATTTTGTACCATATCGTTCTGCTCCATACAGAGGTCCACTGAAGCAGCTCCAGACTCGGCATCACTATCGTCCAAATCAAAAGCCTTCTTATAACAGCCTCGAGCCCGGCCAAGGTCTTTCGCCACCTCTCGGTAATAATGTCCAAGAAAGCGGAACGCACAACCAAGATTTGGGTCCAACTTTGCAGCCTAAAGCACATAAAACTAAGTTTTAAAACCAAGATACAACTCAGTAATTACTCATGACTTCTTGATGCCAATAAAGTTCTTCAGCATTGAGCTTTAAAATCAAATAAAATTAACTGTGAATGGTGCAACAAAATTATACTGGCCTTCAGGAAATGAGTTTGAGCTTTAGTCCGATCTTTACGAGTCTCTTCTCCCATGTCCCAGTAGAGTTTACCAAGTAAGAAAAAACACTCCCCACTGTCTGGGCTCTGGCTGGCTGCCTTCAGGAAACTAAAGCAGAAAAGAAAAAAGGAACTAAGTCATTTTGTACCATACAAATTGATTGTTCACATATGAGTTTTGGGAAGCACAGACTATTCACACAGAAAAGAGACGAGCAGTTTCACCTCTCCTCTGCCAACTGATGCTGACCCTGAGCCAGCTGTGCAAGTCCTCTAAGTACCAACCCCTGGGCAAGGTCAGGGTTAGAGGCAAGAAGCTCTGAAGACTCCTAGGATAGAGAGAAATGTTTACATATGATCTTTGTGTGTGCATATTTTATTTTCATCATAAATCCAATAATTGTCAAGAAAGATTTCAGTGGGTAACACACTGTCAACCTTAAGTGCTTGATCAGTTTGTCCCTTGTTAAGATAGGAACGTCCTTTGAGGGCCACAAGAACCGGATCTTTCCCAGCATCTGGGATCTAAAAAATTAAAAGAACAACCAAATTCCTCATCAAGAAGAAGAAAATAAAATATATATTGTACATACAACAACACAGTAGAGAAGAACTGAGGATAAGTCAATCCTACTACCTGTGAAAATGTTTCCAAAGCCTGGTCTGCAGCCTCCTCTCCTCCGCTCTTGACTGATGCCTCTAATTTCAGCCTGAGCAGTTTGACTCTCAGCTCTTTGTCTTCAGAACCACACACACTCAAACCTAAAACAGGGACATACAAAGTATTTTCTCTGATTCAGGGGGCTGATATTTAACAGGTGCTGTCCAACATTCTTGTTTAGGGCTGAAACACACTTTTTTTCAATGAACTCCTAATGAAGTATGATCAAATATTCTGCTTTTGGACTTGTTGGATCACTAACTAAATTTTGTTTTGGGTTGACCTTAATATCAATAGTAGTATACAGCTTATAAAACACACCTTGGGAGCATGATGAAGCACACTCTGAGTATCTGTGCGTTTTCAACTGAGCTTCAGCCAGACTGTACCATCCTGGACCAGAGCTCTTTTTCGTCAGTCCTAAGAAACAGGAGAGGAAAATCATTTATTTTAGTACACATAATCTAAATGTCAGAGATGGCTGTGAAGTGTATTTGTAAATAGGAGGTGCCTTTTGCAAGAACCAAACCCTAACAATGTCAACACACATACTAACCTTGTGTAAGTTCCTTAATAGCTTCCTTATACCTTCCTTCTTGCAGTGCTTTAGTGCCTAGACCCATGCGACCTAATCCACTCTTGGGGTCTAGATCCAAGAGCCGAGAAAAACAGCTGCTCGCATCGTCATTATGAACTCCTTAAAACAAAAGAACAAAGGTGACAGCTTCAAACTTTAACAAGTTTTTTTGAGTTTATGCTCCTCAATTTGTTCTCTTGAGAAAATGAAAACAGCACTGTACCTTTACTGAGGTAGTATGAACAAAGCAGCTCAAGAGGGTAGCTGTCCCGGGGGTAAAGTGCCAGCATGGACTCACATGCCTCTTTCATTTTGGTTTCTTCTTGTGGCAGCTACAAAAAAAAGAGAGATTTGTGATGGAGAGCTCATCATGAAATGACAGAACGAGGTTAATAGATGAGCAGATTACAGATCAAGCTAATCATTTTTCTTATTTGTCTTAAAGTTTCAAACATCAGATGAGAGTTGCACTCACTTTAGAAAGACATTTGACGTAATCAGATGAGACCTTCTTGTGTTCTTCTCCAGGTACAGGATCCATGAGAACCATGGCCTTTTCAAATGCTGTGATTAACTGATAAACCACAAACAAACACAATTTTAACATCATCATTAAACATTGCACTTCATAATCTTGAGACTAAGACTCATAGGATTTATCATACATGCTGTTGAGTTTCGTTGTCCTCCCCTCCTTCTTTGAGGCAGTCTGAGAGGACTTGGCTCATCTGTTGCCATAGCTGTAGCAACTCTTTCTTGTCCACATTTTCTTCTTCCTTCACCTGAATGAGCTGTAACCAAACCTTCGCCAACTGTATTGCAAACATAGACATGCCTCCAAATAAGTGAAAAGAATATATTCCTTTTGTATATTTGATTGAGCAAATTAGAATTGAAATAACGTACCTTTGAATACTCTTTGTCAGACTGATAGATGTCTGAGAGCTTTTTGATCATCTCATAACATTTTGTTTTGTCAGAACTGTTCATGGAGAAAATACCAGAATAAATAACACAACTAACTGATACTAGTCAAGTATTTTTAAGTACCACATTTATACATTACCTTGCATACAAATCAACAAGCTTCTGATAGACGTTAGGGAGCTCAACTTTGAAATCCCACTGGTCGGTCTTCTCATACAAATTTGCCAATCCCTAAAACACAAATGCATCTTCATAGCAAACTTCTAATTTCTTTAATTTAGTGGAAATTAATCTAACATGTAAAACCCTCAACATCAATTTACAAACCATTACATTTCCACCACCTTACCTGCCATGCCAGTAGCTGCTCAGGCTCCAGCTCCACCGCCTTTTTATAAGCTGTCTGTGCCTGATCTGGCTGCTCCAGTTCGCTGGCAGCCAAGCCGATGAACACCCATGCATTATAATTGTTCTTCTCAAGCTTCAAAACAGCCTGTTTTCATTACAAGGAGAGATAAGTCATAAAAGTCAAAGTCATCAAAAAACAATCATATTTTGAGTCAATTGAATATCATTTTATAGCTAATTTAACTCCCAGGATATCTGAATTGGTTTCTGTACCTTACACTGTTTCAGCGCTTCTTTGAACTCTTTGTTTTTTATGGCTTCTCTTGCACTTTTTAGTGCTGTTTTCACCTCTTTACTCGACATCTTACAGTGATCTGAAAGAAAAACAAGTGTGAAATGGAACATCTCAAGAGTAAATCTCATTACACCTACTTCAATCTGTTACAAATGCCTGACTGGAAACCAAAGGGGGCAGAGCATTTGGCTTAAAGGCCTCAAAACAGTTGAAAGACCTGGTCAGCTGAACCTGCGACCCCCTTAAATCCCCCCTTTGAACATACTTCAACCATAGACTGTATATAATATTTTATATACAGTCTATGACTTCAACCGACAAACTTTCCTAATTTTACTGTGTAGCTCTTTGTAGCTCGTATCCTGAACAGCGCTTAAAATCTGTACTTGTGTTATTTCTTATTTGTAGTCGTGGTAGTGTAATTGGTTACAGTTGCAAACCACTCCACCGGTGTTTCGATTTAAAGAGTGACCCTGCTGTCTGACGACTTCCCCCCGATGCGTCAGTGAATGTCGTAGTGAAAAACGAAAATAGTCCTCACGAATGCACCCGTATTTAATCTTTTATCAATATAATGTCAAAAATAAGTCTTGTTTAGAAATTACAGGCATTTACGGAGATTTTTCAGAGCTCTTGAAACTACAATAACCACTGACACATCCTGCTGATAGTCGCAAGTAAACACGGTTTCTCTGTAAAGCGAAACACCTGTGACATACAGACTCCTCTTTAATGAATAAGCAGTCAACAAACAGTACCTATTGGGCAGTAGATTATAAACACTTGCTTTGGCTGATAAGCAGCAGTAAATTGTCCGACTAAACACCTAATGTTCAAAGTTTAATTCATGAGCTGTCTGTGGCCAGTAAGCGTTAGCAGTGTTAGCAAAGTTCCTAAAAATACCTCAGTATCTGCCCTGAGCCCCGCTGCGCAGAAACTACTTTAAAACCTTAAAAAATAAATGACAGAGTAATATCCAGTTTGTGTAGTTGGTACCCCGCAAATCTGTGAATTACCTGCAGAAGCCGTCTGTTTACGTTGACAGCTTGCGTCGCTCTGTGTGACACGGAAGTAAAATACAAGTGGCCGCAACGTCTCAAAATTTCAAAATAAAATTGCTCTTAGTGCGGTTTATAATTATACACTTCGATTAACAAATGTAAAACAAAAGTTTCAAAAATTATCAACATTTCCGAGAATTTATTGTTACATTTCAGTCCTCTAAGCTAGTTAGAGGTCAGAAATGTGACATGTGAAAGTCAAAATTTGCCCAAACTGAGTCTTGAACAGTGAAAAGAATTTCCTCGTTATTTATTATTTACTATTATAGTGGGTCCCTGACTTTTATCTCAAATTTAAATATATTTTCAAACCCCTCTCACCCTATTCTTTACACTGCAACACAAAGGCCAACCTATCATATGAAGATGGATCTTGTCCATACTGATCAGCTAAACTAGCTTGCATCGTTTAATTGCATTGAGTTCTTGCAATATCATGTATAAAGTCTCACTTAACCATACTCAAACTGTGCTTGAGGGATGCAGAATATTTTCCATGCAAGCAGTTATTTTTACTGAAAGCCTGCTAATTATGTGTCTTCTCCCACCGTCACTGCTCATCACTGGCTATCCATCTGCAGTGATGGAAGACGTACAATATTAAGTGTGCTCCTTCTTATTCATATTCACAGCTTAGATTGCTTTCTACCATCACTGAGGACCTATCTCTGATCTTGTCAGCTTGATTTGTTGATAAGGGAAATCAATGACAGACACAATAACGATAATAATAATATATTTTATTCATGGGCATCTTTCAAAACAAACAAGGTCACCTTAAAAAATAAGCAGTAATGTACAAATATATACATATATATTATGGCCCAAGAAAATGGGTTTGGTGGGGCCATATTTCTATCGCCCTCTGTAGAGATGTCTACAGAAAAGCATATGTAAAAATATCAAAAAGAGCCTTAGAGCCACTTGTCAATTGCTTTCTCGTTGGCTAACACATCTTTTTGCCAGTCAACATGCCACCTTAGGTTAGCAATGACCTGGCTATAGTTCTTTCCTAAACTATTGCGCCAGGCACCAAATGCTCTTTTATTGTAAAAACGAACAGCTTCTGAGACTTTTGGATAGTCTACAATGGTGTGCAGGAGGTTGTCCAGATGTGCCCGCACATCTGGGAATTTCAGTGCCACATTGTGAAGTTCTTCCTTGTCCAGTGTTAGGTCTGCAAAACAAAAGTTATACAGTAAAGAAAAGCATGCTTGTCTGACTGGTGTCTCATTTCTGAAGTCAACAACTTACCAAAAAGCTGTGGGGGCACACTCAGGCCATCTGCATAGGCTATATATTTCCATCTGCCCCTTCTTAGCATGTATGTCGAGGCATTTACATTACAACCATGATATTCACTCAGAACCCAGTCTGGCCTTGGTTTCTCTGAAGAAACACTGACCTTAGACAGCAGAGGAAAAAGCGAGTGCCCACTAAGAAATCCTGGTGCTGGGACACCAGCGATATCTGCAAAACACACAAATGGTTTCATCAAGTCTAATGAGTAATGTCTAAAACTTACTATTTTCTTTTATAGAGAGTTCGCAGACAAATTAACTCTCCCACTCAGTCTGCCTCAGTGCTAGCATACATTTCTTCCTCACCAAGCACAGTGGGGTAGAGATCAACCAAAGACACAAGCTGATCAGCTGGCAAACCAGACTGAAACCCAGGTCCCATTATCAGCAGGGGAACATGGGAACTGCCTTCAAACATGGACATCTTGTAGAACTGTCGGTGCTCCATGGCCAGCTCCCCGTGGTCAGACGTGAAGATCACAACAGTGTTGTTAAGCAGGCTGGTCTCCCTCAGCGCGGAAATAACCTGACCTGGTAGGACAGCGGGGTAGGGTAAGTATTCGACTGGCAAAATTTGACTTCTTTTAGATGAAAATACAGGATTCAAACAGAATTTCCATGTTGCCTTAAGTTTACTAGCTTTTTAATCTTTAAATAGTCAGTCAATCTCTCCACCTCTTGTTGAAAAAGACTTTCCACTGATGCATTACTGGTGTCAACTAACCTAGCATGGCATCTGCCTCAGCACACATGGCATAATAGAAAGCTCTTATTCTCTTGACTTCCTCCTCAGTGAAACCCCCACTGCAGTTTTTTGTGAAGGTGGAGTAGTAGTCCACGGGGTGCATGGCTGACATGGGTAACCATTTAGGAACAGTGATGAGCTCTGAAGAAACCTGCGTGAGCAAAAACAGACTTGAGCACTAATTCTTAACCCTAGAAGGACACATGTAATAAGATTTTAAAAAATTGCCTTCTTCAGCCAGTATGGTGAGGTGAGGAAAGTCGATCCTCCAGCGGTTGGCCCCAGTGATTCAGTTTTATAAGGATGAGGCAAATTGAGCCCAAGATAAAGAGCGAAAGGCTGGTGAGAAGGCGCAGCTTTCTGGTGAATCCACTGTGTAGCTGCATCTGTGTTTTCCCAATCTTTCTTCATGATCCTCACTGTTGACATGTTACCAACAAGCTGTGTAACAGGCCGGCCCTCTTGGCGCAGGAGGAAGGGAACATCTCGGGTCCAGGCCTCGACTCGATTACTAGGAAGGTTGCAAAAATACACAAATACAAACATGAGTAATGACAAAAAATGGGAAGTGGAAAGAAAACACAAGAACAATGGTGATTCACACTCAACTCTAAATGCTTCCAGTTTATCTGTAGATTATTTAGCACCCTTTAGTTTATAAATAGATCGTTAGAGTCAAAGATGTAGGCTCAACCTTGTGAATGAGTCCCTGCCAGTGTCTGCCTACCTGACTGAGTGGCTTCCAGAGGTGTAGTCCAGCTTTCCCATCATCTTGGTAAGATATCCATGTGCCTTGAGAAAATCCATCCATGTTGTTACATTACCATCAAGGCATTTGTAGTTGTTCCATGACTGTGTGAGATGAACAAACTGACCGCTCCACATAGCTGAGGAAATGATTGTTAAAAAGTAACAGATCAGAGTTAACAGTCGTATTAATAAAACGTTATATCTATTGTTTCAGTTCAGGAAATGACCTGCTCTTGAGGGGCAGCAGATGGGTGAGTTGGTGTATGCATTGAGGAATGTAGTACCAAGCTCCCTGAGATAATTGATATAAGGAAGATGCACAACTTTGCTGCCAGGATCAAAGGTCAATCTCCCATCCTGCACAAAAGAAGAGGAAACACAGCATTTACACCCAAAAATCAAAGAAAATTACAAAATTACAGGTGTGATACTTTTCGCTACAGCCATATCAGCTCACAATGCTTCAGATCCTACAGAGACGTTACAGCCTCTGTAATAGAAACACTTACCGCAAAGCAGAAAACCTCTGCATGTGGTAGAAGTCATACTTACAAATGCATCACTCATCACCATCACTATGTTTGCTCTTGTTCCATTTTGACTCCAACTCTGACCATAAACTGTAAACAGGAGTCCCAAAGTCCAAACAACTGTGTTCATGACAGCGTCTCACCGCCTTCACATTAAGATGTTCTGCATTTCGTAAAGGGGGAGATTTGTTTAGACTCAGCAGAAGTCTCACTTCTGTTCCTATAAAGTTTTGAGACTGCGTAACTTCCTGTGAACGTCCGGGTCACGCTTTTCAAAATAAAGGTTCTGGAGTTTTATTTCAAATAAAGACGTTTAACTGTGGAAAAAGAAGTCATTTCGTCACACTTACCTCACAACCTTAAAACTGGGTTTGGGTTTCAGATGGTTTGTAAAGAAACTACATTGTAATCTTGTGTCTTGCCAAATATTTCATTTCAATATTTCAGAGAGAGAGAGAGAGAGAGAGAGAGAGAGAGAGAGAGAGAGAGAGAGAGAGAGAGAGAGAGAGAGCGAGAGAACAAGATAAAGGGAAGGAGAAAGGGAATGAGTAAGGGAGAGGGAGGGAGGGAGAATAGAGAATGAGGGTGAAGAGAAGAGAGAGAGAGAGAGAGAGAGAGACAGGGGACAGCAGCAACATTAAACAACAGCTCATGAGACAAAAATGAATTGTTGTTCTTCATTATCTATTTTATTGCCCTATTATTACTGAATTGAACTGATTCTGCTATGTTTGGAATTGTAATTTTGTTAACTTTGAATAAAGAAGAAGAAAAAAAAGAAACTACATTGTACAAGCAGATTTCCACCACTAGATGGAGGCATTTGTATTGTCACAAAGTATCTGCACAGTTTTGACCAGCTGGCTTTGATAATCTGACAATCCACAGACTTTTGTCTTGTAACGACTGGCTACTACAATAATGCATGATAAAACTCAAGTTAAAATATATTATATGAACTCCTTTATTAATTAAACTGGATTTAAAAATTGCCAACCTAATCCACTGCAATCAAACTCAGTTTCATAGTTCTTTTGATAGTTTGGCAACATGGAGATATTAGATTAAATCCTGCTTGACCTTTAATACTCGTTTTCTACTCATTGCATAAGTGTAATTGAATGTTTTAGAGTGACGTTTAGCTGTCATGGTGAATAAACACGATGTAGGCCCTACTTGAGTCTGTATGCTCAACAGGTGATACTGCCATTTTCTACAGAAGCCTTGATAACCAGCAGGTGGCGTTTTGAGCCTCAGAGTTGTTTTTCTGTAACACAACACAATGAAAAGTCCCAACCCCCATCTGTGCACGGATCATTTTGATCTCAACACAAAAACACTTTATGTCATACATACACAAATGGGGTGAATTTAGGAGCTTACAAACCATCTCTCTTCATTGAAAGTAGCAGTCTTTGTATATTATACCTTAAAAACAGACATGGCCTTTAGTGCTGACAAGATGCAAGAATCAGATGTTGTTTTGGTGACTGTAAATGGAGCTTTAGGTTAGAGTAAGCCTTTATATATGGGGGACTATATGCTTCGATGATAAAATGTGTTCAGACTCTAAAGCCATAAAGATCAGACCTCTACAAAGATAGGTCAGGGTGTGGTGATGTATGGGAGTAAAATGCAACCGCTTGATCACTTATTATAAAGGGTGAACACTGTTTTGATTCACAGGCTATATTTTGATTGTTTCTTATCAATATAGCTCACACAGGCACACTTGAGGGCACAAAAACTACAAAATAAGGGTATTTTTGTTTCTTCTATTTTGCAGACACGCACAATATGTATAACTCTTTAATATCAGCAAACAATCTTCATAATCCAGGTGATGAAATGACTTTCTCTGAACATTTCTTTGTGCAGCCTTTCAGCTGTTTGACCAAACTTGTCATTTGGCTCGATGCCACACTTCTCTGCCTTGTTCCAGAAGGCGGAAGGAGGGGGCAGTGGAGCATTGCGCATGCGCCCGAGGTTGTTTTTCACACTGCCTGTCGCTTAAAGTGAGCTGAGCTACGGGGGTTTCCTTGTCTTTGACTGGAGACCAACTCGCAGAGAGGCAGGCGGACGATAACAGCATCCTTTGCTGTTATTCAGCCATCACACATCTCAATGAACTGCTCGCAAAGAAGCCACTGATCGTGCCTACTGCTTTTTGCAGGGCAGAGATACTGATCAGTGTCTAAAAACTGCATCTCTTTTTCACATGAGATTATTTTTTCATAGACTTTTTTTATTTTAATTTCAAGGTCTCTGTAGCCCTGTCTCTTTCCAACCATGGTGCTAGGGAAGGTAAAGAGCTTCACAGTAAGCTACGACTGTCTCAATGACAGCAATGTCCCCGTCTTCTCCAGCGGGGACTGTGTCTCAGGGAGGGTGGTCATCGAAGTCACGGGAGAAATCCGCGTGAAATCTCTCAAAATCCACGCGAAAGGATTTGCAAAAGTTCGTTGGACTGAATCGAGGAACGCAGGATCCAACACTGCCTACACACAAAACTACACAGAAGAAGTGGAATACCTAAATCACAAAGATATTTTGATTGGACATGAGAGAGGTAAGACTTTGTGTTTATTTTTTCATTATTCTTATTTTTGATGTCGCTATTGACTATGAGATGCTCTTTGTGCTGGTTCATTGGAGGATGCTGTTGTCCTGGCTGTCATAAACAGTCATAGTAATGTTATTTAATGCACTCAAAGTGAGAAACCTTTGTGTTAAAGTGTGCTTTTGTGGTGCAGTTTTATTCAGTGACTTATAATTGAAAGATCTCAGCGGATACTTGTTTGTGTCGAGGTGTCAGAATGAATGACAGCAGCTCGGGCAACTATGTTTTTCAGAGTATTTCAACAATAAAACCACCTTAAGATAAATTTATTTAGAGCTACATCGATGGAGTAATAAGTTGTGGTTGTGTATCATCGGTTGTGTTAGAAAATTTCGTTAATAAACGCCTCATTTGGGCTGTTTCTTTGTAGCTTTTCTTAAGTTTCCACCCATTGTTCAAAGCGGTTCAATCCTGTTCAGAAAACTGGACCTGGTGGGGGCGGGGCTTAGAGTAAAGTCCTGCCTTTGGCTGCATGTGATTGGCTGAGGTGCTCATGTGTGGGTAATGACATCACTCTTCTGCAGAGGGTGACAGACAATCCTGCAACTTTTTAATTGAGAACATCCTAGAAGCATAAAGTCCAGATGGATGGATTTAATGTAGGCTGCTGCAGAGCACAAAAGCAATGTTTTTTTTATTCGTTTTTATTTCACTCTTCTTTAGCCTGGTTACAGATTTGTCAAGTAAAAAAAACACAAGATTTTACAGGCAGTTGCAATGGAGAAATAGGCGTTATCAATGTCAGGTGTTGTGCCGTAGAATGCATCCCTGCCGTAGAATGCACCCCTAACCGTAGCGCGGTTGAAAGTACTTAAAAACGCGAAATAATCCAAGTTTTCCTTACCGTTGGATGGATTCAAAAGCGTTTGTCGTTTATAATTTCATTCAGGCTATTCAGATAAGTCGAAAACAATAGCCCTCTGACTCGTAATATTTGTTGTCCCCAAAATATAATGTTCTCTATCTTGACAGCTAACTGTACAGTTCATACACCCAAGTACAGCTCTATATGTGCATTTTTTAGACACATAAAAATAAAATGAAAGTATGCTGCTCCATTTGACATGTTGTCGTGATCCAATACTCGTGTTTTTGGTAAAATATCAGATAATTTTCTTCCTCTTTAAGAAGCTAATGAGTGGAGGGGGTGCATTCTACGGTAGGGGTGCATTCTATAGCATAACACCTATCTGTGTTTTAAACTGATTAGATACCGTTCACTTACATTCTTCACGAGCTTTTCTTGAAATGCTCAAAATGAAGCTGGTTTTGTATATTAAAAGAGTTGAGGACTGCAGTAGGTGGAGGTCTGAGCAGTCTTGTTGTAGTAGTAGCTGACTGCGGCGTCGCTCAGTGAATGCGTAATGAGAGCAGAGCAGAGTGGAGCAGAGCGGCTGTGGGAAGCTGCTCGCACCGGTTTAGGCCGGTCTCCTCCTGCTGGAGTCTGCCGTTTGACTGACAGCTCCGCACTTGTTTACCACACGGCTGCTGCTGCTGCTGCTGCTGGTGTAAGGGGGAGGGAGTGCTGAGCTGGCAGAAGCACACCCGACCTGTCGAGTTCAGCGCTTCAATTTTCACCTAAGATATGATTTTAAAAAAATGTTCCCAATCGTTTTAACGTTTTACGAACATCGTGTCCTCATTCCCCTTGAGAAACGGGTAGAGTGTCTGTTTCATTTCAGAGATGGGCAAATAGGTTAGTTTTGAAAAGTAAGGAATCTTTACGGATTAGGATTTGCTGCCATATAGAGCCATGCTTTTGCCATGAAAGCTGATGTTTTCCTCCATGGTCAAACGAAAAAGAGCCATGTCTTTGTTCGTACATAAGCCGGACATCTTTTACAACCACAAACCACAAACTAGTCTGCTTCACATCTCTCAATACACTAAAATTTTAGACATACATAGTAAAATCCCTTTTATTCTCTTTTGTCTCCCCCACCCTGTGTTTTTGGTATGACTTTCAGATGCCTTCGTAGAGCATTTTTCTCAGGTATGGTATACATGTGTTTGGAATATATTCCTCCTTGTTTTTCAGATGATGATAACTCTGAGGAAGGACTCACCACTATCCATTCAGGAAGACATGAGTATGCATTCAGCCTTGAGCTTCCACAGACGTGAGTGTCTTCAGTACTACGCCTCAAGTCAGAGATAAAATATCATTACCATTGTTATTAAGTGGTGACCTGTTGGAGCTGTTAATTTAATCCTTTTCTTTCCGTCTTTCTTCTTATCTCCCCGTAGACCTCTGGCTACCTCTTTTGAAGGGAAGCATGGCAGTGTGCGCTACTGGGTAAAGGCCGAACTTCACAGACCATGGCTCCTGCCGATGAAGACCAAGAAGGAATTTACAGTCTTTGAGCACATTGACATCAACACTCCATTATTGCTGGTAAGCCCTTTTAAAAAGAGTTATGAGTATGTAAGTGAGTATGTATGCTAGTCTTGATCAATGAACCAAGTGATCAAAATAAAGCAGATTTTGCTTAGTTAATAACTGTCTAAACCATCTGTTTTCTTGTTCTTTCAGTCACCACAGGCCGGCACTAAAGACAAGACACTTTGCTGTTGGTTCTGCACCTCAGGTCCTATTTCCCTAAGTGCCAAAATTGAAAGGAAGGGATACACCCCAGGTAAGAATAAACACAATGCACAGACTCCACAGATAACTACCATGAGAAGTAATTGAAGACTAACTTCCCAACCCTCTTTCGCATTTCAGGAGAGTCAATCCAGATCTTTGCTGAGATCGAGAATTGCTCGTCCCGCATGGTGGTGCCAAAGGCGGCCATCTACCAGACCCAGACCTTCTATGCCAAAGGGAAAATGAAGGAGGTCAAGCAGCTGGTGGCCAACCTGCGGGGCGAGTCTTTGTCCTCAGGCAAAACAGAGACCTGGAGTGGCAAGATGCTGAAGATTCCCCCTGTCTCCCCTTCCATCCTTGACTGCAGCATCATCAGAGTGGAGTACTCCCTCATGGTGAGTACAGTATTAGACACATAGAGATTCATACTTCCTTTAGCCTCTTCTCATTTCCTTATTATCCGTATTATCAGGACGAACTCAATAATTCCTAGAAAGCCAGTATCCCTGCTGGTGAAAGACCTGTCAGACTCAGCTCTCATAGCCAAATCTGGGCCTTGGATTGCACCAGGTGTTATCTCCACATGCTGCTAAGAGCATTAGCCCAGAATATCTTAGGTAACACCTGTCTTGAGGGTGCTTATAACCTCTTTACCTTGTGGGCAGACAGGCTCCAGGCAAGGGCTCTACCTTTCATAAGCGGCTGACCTCAACATATTGACCCACATATTGCCAAATGACTGGGCAACCTGTATAGCCCTGAATAGCATTGATCCATGATATATATCTGCTAGTTGTTGTATACGTGTTAGTCGCTAAGCTACAAAGCTTTTTATCCACTACTATGCAGCACATTTGTTCCACTAGAGCAGGATGACTTGCATATACTAAGCTGCTGTATCGTCCACATGTTCAGGTGTACGTGGACATACCTGGGGCGATTAACCTGTCCTTGAACCTGCCCTTGGTCATCGGAACCATCCCTCTCCACCCTTTCGGCTCTCGCACTTCCAGCGTCAGCAGCCAGTGCAGCATGAGCTGGCTCGGCATGGGTCTGCCTGAGAGGCCTGAAGGTAGGTTGCATCTCATCATGATTTATATATGGCATTGTTTTAAAAGTGTAAATTTCCAGGGCGCTGACATGTGGACTCTTTTGCAGCTCCTCCTAGCTATGCAGAAATTGTGACCGAGGAGCAGAGGCAGAGCAGTCTGGATGTGCCGGCAGCTCGTGAGGATCTGGACGGACCTCTGTTTGCTTACATTCACGAGTTCCGCTTCCAGCCACCTCCTCTGTACTCAGAGGTAAACACCAAACTAAATAAAACTGTTTCATTTTTGAAAATCACAAACTTTAGTTGTCATTAAATATCAAAAAACTTATACTTCTATTCTTTTTCCCACTTCAGATTGATCCTAATCCAGATCACGCCAGCCGTACAGAGGAGCGCAGGCTGGACACCTGTCCATCTCGCTGAAGGGTATCCCTGAAATTCCCCTGACTGAATGGGGAAACCAAAAGGAAACCTGCTTGCAAGGCTCAGCTTTGTTTATTTTTCTCCAGTAACAACGCTCATACGGTGCTGTTGACTCGAGGAGAAAAATACCCCAACCAACCGACAAAGACTTGGACAAATACTCACATTTGAGTTGGGTTGGATGAATCTGTTCCTGCCTTCCTTCAATGACAGAAACAGGAGTCAGTAGTTTGGGGCATCACTTCCTTTCTGTGTCAGCCGGCTGAGGGTGGGAGAAGTGCAGATGAACACATTTAGTCTGTATGAAAAACTCCCACATGCCAGAAGAGCCCTGGTGAGAAAACTGACACTGACAAGGAAGAATCAGCTCGCCAAGCTCCTCTTTTAACCCCTGATTCTCCTGTACTCATGGCACATAAGGACATGGCTCCTCACACAAAGGGCAGGACTCATCATGTCCAGACTTCAGGAGAATCAGCAGAAAACAGGATGAAGACAGAAAAATAACACCATAGTCTGTACAAATGAAAGCAGTATGCTGCATCAGTCAACAACAGAGCCAAGACTCAGTCCTCCTGCCTCATTTGGGATTTTGTTTTGCACATTTTATTCTTTACTTGAGTTGTGTGGCTCTGTTATAATAAGAATTTAAAAAAAAAATCACTAATAGTTTGGTTTCAGCCTTGTAATGCACCAGACTAAGAGACTGCAGGCTTAACTTTTGAGACTTTCATCTTCGAGCTACGCTGAGAACAGGATTTGATTTCGTTAAAAAAAAAGAATGAAAAGGACAAGAACAATGCACTGAATTTTGTTTAAGCTGTTTAAGAAATTTCTTTCTCTCCTTATGACATTTCCTCAGTGACTTGTAATAACTAGGACTGGACTTTTAAGACAGCTGCAGCACATGATCTCCATCTTTTACGTTGTTGCCTCCTCAGCTTGGATCCGAGTGTGGCTTCCCTCCTGTTTTAGTTTCGTTCTGTAATTTAGTTTTTGTGTTTAGCTCTAATCTTAGTACTGATTTGAACCTTTTTTGTGTTGAGGTTGCTCTGGATTTGGACTAGGAGGGTTGCAGACCTGTATTTGCCACTCAAAACTCTAGCTTAAGAGAAAAGTGTGAGTCTGTGTGTGAATGTGTGCGAGTGTAACAGAGAGAGTGGTACAATATGGAGGGACTTGCCTGATTACCTGCAGCCTCTCTACTCCTAATCTCAGGGCAAGCTAGGCTTGCGTAACTGCCCAAAAAGCACTGTCTCAGGTGGTCTTCTCACTTGCCAAACGGTTGGAGAAAAAAAAAAGAAAAAAAATTGTAGGTTTCCTTTTAAAATTGCACTGTTAAAAATTCTGATTTTTTTTTTTTTAAATACCAAAACGTGAGAAATGACCTACAGAGAAGTAAGGCAGCTTTCTGAGATTGATCACATTCCCTTTTTGTCCTGCTGCACTCACCCAGTCCACCTAACCAACTGCTAGTCTAAACCAGACCCGTGAAGCCGGAATGCTACAAAAAAAAAGAAAAAGGGAAAAGAAGGAGAAACGACTCTGCTCATGCGTTTTTAAAAGGAGCAAACCCAGCACAAATAAAAGAGCTGGGGACACTGCTAAACTTCTGTTGAGACTGGTCAGAACAAGTAGTAGTAGGTTGACATGAGTAATACATTGGTTTTCTAACTCATTCAACACAAACGGCCAGCTGCAACAGAGGATTTGCATAGTCAGGAAAAAAAGCAGCACTTTTTTGATAAGAAAAAAAATGTTGAAAAAGCATTCAAAGGTGAAGGTCTGGACATGAAAACATTTGTACTAAAGGATTCTTCTTGTATAGGACGCTAATCCATTATTTAATTTTTTTTTTAGGCGTGTGACTTTTCTAAGTGTACATGTTAAACATAGCTGACACCAGTCTGGATGTATGTTCGTGTGTGTGTACGTGTGTCTGTGCATGCTCCTCTCGAGATCCAGCTGCAACTAAACAAACAGCTTCTGACGAACTGCAGACGATTAAAGTGATCTTATCTTAGTGGCCTTGACACAGAAAAGACCTGATCATGATTCTTCAATTTTTTCAGTGTCCGTTCGCTCTTGTTCTCTCCTTTTTTGTTAAGTTTGTAGACGTCTGTATGTTTTCACATCTTTCAGTGTTCATTCAAAAGGACAAAAAGGGAAGAGAAAAAAAAAAAAGTCCTTTAAAAGCAAGTGTTTGAATATCGACACCTAAGACGGGCCTCTCCACTCAGCTGTTTAACTATCATTTCTGGGCATTGAGATATTATTTTGCAAAAGTAGTTGTTGTAACAAGCAAGCTTTCTAACTTAGCCCCCTGAACCTCTATGACCCCCTCAGGCCTGGGGTGGCGGCTGTTGATCAGCACCTCCCCACTGAGAAGTATTTAGATAACATGGGATAGCAGACAAACCGCTTCTTCCACAGTTTTCCTGTCCTTTTTTTGTTTTTCTCCTGTTTCCCCAGCTCCTTGTTTGGATATAATTTTAGGGAAACTGAACCAAGCTACACAGCATTGAATAAGCTTACGTACATGTTTCAGGTTGGTCAATTCCATATATAGTCCATGTACTTGGGCCTCAAAGTAGTCCAGTGTCAAAACTAAGCTAAACTCCTGACCCTGATAAAGGCAGGAGCTGAAATGTTCAGAGATAAAAGAAGCTGGGCCACAGGATCTGAAACATTTTAGAAACAAAGTGCAATATCACTCACTGACTTTTCTTTGTTCCCCATTTGTATGTTTGTTTTTATCTCTTATTTGGTCTGTTAATCATGACGATGTATAGATATTCTATGAATATACTATGTTCTGAATGATTTAACCTTTTTTCTAGTTCTTACTTTTGATTTGAATAAACATTTTGTTCCATACTACAGTGGGCTGCTCTGTTTATTTCTGGATTTATATCACACAGCTACACAACTAAAACACTTTATCCTTGTATGCATTATGGACTTATGGACAAATTTCCAATTTTGACAAGTATTGTGTCTTTGGCATTAATCTTTAACACAATCACAAAAACAACCTATTAACTTGACAGCAAACCAAGTTAAAGAGAAGCTGCAAATGATTAATCATTCCCTGGTTTTGTATCCTTAAAAAACAGCCTGATTTAGGTCAAAATCTAGTGCAATACTGCCCCTAGAGGTGGTTCTGAAACAGCACTTGGATTCAGTGGCAGAAAGTTGGATGACAGTGTAGTCCTTAGACTCCAGTTTACTTTTAAAATGAGCAGCAGGAATTCCTCGATTAATTTAAATGAACACCTGTTAAAAGGGGTCTTTTTTATGTTAGAGATGGAGTCCAACTTGAAACAAAAATATCGTCAATTCTCACCAAAAGTGTGACAAACAAGTGTTGGAGTCCAACTTGAAACAAAAAAAAATCTTCAATTCTCGCCAAAAGTGTGACACACATGGCACACAGGGCTCAGGGTTATTTATTTATCCTGTTTGTTCATGTCCCCACGTGTTTTAGGTCACAGCCTGCAGGAGTTTACTGCAGAGATTCCTCAGGTCAGATTAGGAGAGGGAAAACCAGACAAAAGAGCTGCATTTTCCTCTTTGTATAAGTTAATTTGACATAAATTACTTGACAACTCCAAATCTAACTGAGGCTGTTGAATAGTGTCTTTTACTAACTGAGATAAGCCAGTGTTTCTCTGATCAGATGTGCACATTTTATTTTTATTTTTTGCATCTTATGAAACATTTCTGCTAATCATGATTCTTATTATCAGTCAGATTTGTAAACTGAATATTTTTCAGCCAGAACTTTGTTGTATTTTCCTCAGAAAAGAAGTAAGGAGAAGTCTCAGTGCCCCTCTCGAGGAAAGTGTCAGTGAAACTCAACACTAGTAGATGGCTTTAGGCCAAGTGAACCACAGTCACAGCTTGTCATACAGCAAATCTATGACTTATTCATCCATGTATTAACTGTAGAGGACACAATAGCCTGCTCCAGAGGATGGAGGTGTTAGCATGAAGATTAAATGTACAAATATGTTCCTTTATTCCTCATTTAACCCTTAATACACTGCTCAAACATCACTTATTTTTGTTAACTTTGAGTTCTTTGCTTTTTCACTTGACTTTATTTACACAAATGTGTTAACATTTACTCAGCATTTTGATAAATATTACCGATCCTAAAGTCTTCGTAGCTTCATTTGCTTCAGACGTGAGCAAATATTTGACTTGTAGAGTATGCAGCTTTGTAGGCCCGCTCTCGTTTAAGCACCAGTTTGTCCACACATGACCTATTTATAACGTTTGACAGCCTGTATGTTAGCAGTCAATCAATTTGACTTGTAGTGTATAGACGTGCGTATTACGTCAACCCAGTTTCGTTCTAATCGATTTTGCTGGAAAAGAAGAACATGAGCTCAACAGATTCGATCAAGCCTGGATGTGAATGAAAGCGTTGTGCTGTACAGTGGGTCTGAAAGGTCAGCCTGCCATGAAATGCACAGAAAAGCACTGAAATGACATTGCTGTTGCATAACTGAACCTCGTACTCCTTGAATGTTCTCTAGACTGTAGAATAAACGGCCTCTAAACCTTTCGGACATACACCGGTTTATCCGAAAACAAAGTGACAGCTCATCAACCTCACAGGAAGTTTTTGCACATTATCAGTTTCCAGCCAGCATCAGCGATGACTCAGCAGCTTTGTCAGCTTTGACCAAGCACTTCACCGTGCCTTTGTCCCCTCCCCTAAATCCCACCACCCCTCGGACCCCTTTGACTTGGTGGGCCCGGTCCTTTGTGGGGGCCTGACCCCTGTGGATTGGGAAAAAAAGGAGGAGGGGATTATTGAGGGTGAGCACAGATTGGGGGCGTTGTGCGCGCATGCATGTGTGTGTTGATTAGCAAGTGCTGACACTACACAGGCCTCAGCTGTTTCCTCTCACCGGCTAATCCCACTACCCAGAAGCCCCTTGTGATCCAGAGGTTCTCAGCAGCAGTGCTGTGACCAGGCACATTCAGTGTAGATGGGGAGGGTCGGACTGAGGCCCCCCTTCTATACGCCTGTTTGCCAGCGCCACATCATCACTGTGACATAATAGCAGCACGCACACACACACACACACATCCTGTGAGCCCATACAACAATAGATCAAACAATAGTACTTCAGGTTACACAAATGAAGATTATATTTGAACAACTGTATCGAGATAAGATCCAAAAAGGCCCGTCAGTTCATCCTAACAAAGTTGATCATTATTTTCCTCGCAAGATTACATCAAAACAAAATGAAAACGTTCCATGCATTTGATAAAATATCTCCATTATGCTTTGCACAGTAGAAAAATCCTGGTCACAGAGGCTGTCTAACCTTTGTTGCTAATAACCTGAATAATTGACAAAACTGAGCTTCTGTTTGGTTATCATTAACTCGGATGATCCTCTGTGTTCCTGCATCCATGTGTCAAACATTAAGTAAGCCTAACTTATTCACATATAGGGAAAAATAGCACACACTAACTGGTCTAAAAACAGTTTAAGTCACTCTTTACACAAGTTAATCCTCTGGAATATGTCTCCTCACAGTGCATGTACACAGCTGTATATATAGGCCACAGGTAGCTCTTATGTAGTAAGTTGTGATGCAACTGAATAATGCATCTTCAGAGCAAGCTGATGTGAATGGAACATAAAACAGTGGATGTCTATTATTCTTTGCACATGTTATTTTGCACAATGAAGCATTCTTAATAAAGTTATTAAATATAAAAAGAGACATTTCTGTGTGAGTGAAGGCTCACACAGGATATCCTTTAGGAAAGTACATACAGGAACAGCAGATATTAGTCATGAACTTTCCTGTCAGCCCTTACTTTCATCCCCTCACACGCTCACGCAGCAGCTCTGCAGTCAGCTCTCCATCTGTCCAGAGCACAGACCGGCTCTGTGTTTCTCATCGGAACAAACAAAGAAACAGAGATAGAGCTACAGATAAACTGAACAGAGGCAGAGAGAGAGGGGGGAGCCGTTTATTTTTTCTTTCAAGGGCTTTTTTTTTTTCATGATCTTTCTCAGCAGCTGGTTCATTCCAGTTTGGAGCACTTCTGCGTGAGGAGGCTGACAGCAGAGGCTGCTGGATTTTCAGCACTGAAAGCCCGACTGTTTTTTGACCTTGCAAGGAACAAGTTGTTTACTGTCAGTGAATGCACCATGTTGGACGGCTGAGGAAGAGAGAGAAAAACTTACTGCAACAAAAAAGAAAAGAGTCTTACTTGCCTTTTCAATCTGGTATGATACAGTGAAACCGAAGACAAAGCATCAAGATGACCCTGATGTTGAACTTCTGTACCTGCCCTTCTCTCTGTCAACATGTGTACAAATACCTTTTCCCCACAGAAACATTTGAAATGAATAACAACTCAATGCATCCATCACTTGTCACTTTCTGGACAGGGTGACTCTGAAATAGTCCTTCCATGAAAAACAGATATCAGATTCCACCTCATAGTATGTCCTCTCCTTGTTATGTCATGGTATGTAATAATATATACTTTTTATTCAAAATTTAAAAAAAAAAGGTAAATGTGTGTAGTCTTTACAGACAGACTGAGGGTGATCTACGATGACGGTGCTAATTGAAAATCCCTTGAAACGCCCTCAGTGGAGCTGCAGCCCTCCATCTTTAGTGTGCACAGGAATCTGATAGCTGGAGTGACACTGTACTATGTTCCCATGCCAGGACTCCGATCCCCGCCATACCAGAGTCCCAGCATAGTCAGCATTCCACCTCTAACCATCCTTCGCACACACACGCACTCACACATTGGCATGTTTGCAACCCTTACGCAGCAGCACAAGTTCAGGACCTTGCTGTTACTACTGTTGGGAAAAGTCCTGCGTGGTTGCGCCTCTTTCAGAAATGGAGTTAAAAAAAATAGAGAAGATTATAAAGGTGTCATTTTAAATATCCAGAGGAATAAACTTTATAGGCTAAATTAGAGCTTTTTAATCTTTTAATGCACTTGTAAGATATATAAGATGTTAGTAAATCTTGGCCTGAGGAGAGTACAGTAAATGAGCTCCTTCTTCTCCATCATTCAGGACCTGCAGTTCTTCCAATTTACATTCAACAGATGTAGTAAAAAAAAGCTTTGCGGACACTAAATCTCCTTTACCGTCTGATGCTACACAACATGTGAGTATCTGTAATCATCAGCATGCCAGAAAGACTGACGGCAGTAATCACACCATGCAACGTGGACCCAAGGAGAGAAACAAAGTCAGGCTGGCATTACTAACACACCTCCACACTTTGAATTTACTGCACAGCACTAAGTTATGGTATGCTATACCATGCAACTCAGATTACTGCATTTCCTCACTGCGCTTAGCAATGCAGGGAGCTCTGCTCTATTCTGAGAGCTGGAGGGGAGGAATGTGAGAGATATTCACCAATGACACCCTCTCCTGTTATGTCACTAAAGGATTTGGCTGCAGAACATAGAGGAGTGGGAGAAAGTCTATTGTAGACCTAAAAAAAGATGCAGTAAACAGTTGCAGTTAATACCTTGTTAGGTGGAGAATTCATTGCTTTCTTTATTTAGTTTCTATAATGTGGATCTGCCTCTTTGAAACTGAGATGACTGTAACTTTGAAGGCTTTTAGACGTATTTGATAGAAGTTCTATTCCGGGCAGATAAAACATGATATCCAATTATGCAAGGTCATACTGAGAGTGTTTTTCACGCAGGTTCTCCCTCGGTCAGTCACCTTATGTTCTGCTTCAAGGGGAGAGGAGGCCGGTCTGAGGAGTGCTGTTTCACCACTTGTCTTATTTTACCCCGCTGCTCCCCTGTGGAAGTCACTCAGTTTCCTTTTTTAGCCTCGGCTGACTCATAGCATAGC